TCTATGACAACATATTAGCATATTTCGTAAAGATTGGCGGAGTAGTTACGGCGTAAAAGCGTGACAAATATATATAAAATATACTAACAAACTCAGTTGCGTATTAAAATATTAGTTGTAGTGACGAGGGATACTTTTAAAATCATTTTTTTGAATATAAAAATTTATTAGGCCTTCTTCTAACTCATCTGTTAGAAAGTGAATATAAAAACTAAAATGGTCGCCTAACTAAGAGAAACGCCCTTTAGAGAGTACAAAGTGACCACCGTGGTTCCACCGGGTCACCTACAAGCCGTAGTTGTCCCGGGGTCCATCGGGTTATCTGGGATTTCCTTCCTATGGTACACCTGGTTCCCCGGCTACTGATCCCCAAAGCGGCGTGCGGTGTTTATCCGGGACGAGTCCGACATAACCACCGGTTGGTGGTATACGAATGGATTTCCGCACAGAAAAAAAGGTGTTTATGGCAGGCGGTAGTGACTTACCATCAAGTGACCGTTTCGTTTGCCCCCATCCCATAAAAAGATATATATTATAATTAAATGCCATCATCAATAGAGATTAAGTCGGCGGTACAAGTCTTCAGAAAAAAATAACAGTAGCACTCCGATAGTGCCGACGGAAGTGGAAACTTGAAAATTTAACACATTTTTTTTAAATTTTGTCATAACGGTTTTTTTTTGTTTTTCCGATTCGAAAAGTTCCGACATGAATATATGTATATCTATGTTGTACGTATATATATTTGTTTATATTATAAATAGTTATATTTTCAATGTATTTCAACCCAAACTCAACTCTCGTGTAAACAGGGCCAATATATGTAGACACTTACATAAAGAGGTGTCGGTAACGGTAACAGTTTTGGGAGTTCAATGATTTTTCCCATCTCAAAAAAAAACATTATTTTGTTTGTTGTTAAAAAATGCCCAATGCGCCTAAAAAAGTTTTCACTTCAAAAAGAAGTCAGGGCAAGAATTAGTGTAGTATTACTATAGTATTGTATACTAGCTTTTGACGTATATCTCGATTATATTAGTAAAAAATATCCTGTCTTTCCTCAAGAATCAGTCTCTCCATATTTTTTTTTATTAAAATCGGTTCAGCGGTTATTGATTTGCCGTACAAAACTCCACCCTCCTTTTCACCCCCTTATAGGGTGATTTTTGTAATAAAAACTATCCTATATCCTTTCCCAGGACTAACCAAATTAAAACTATCGCTACATCAAATTCAATCTAAATCGGTTCAGCTTTTTAAGCTAAAGAGGTAACAGACAAACAGACTTTCGAATTTATAATATTAATATGGATGCCTACATGTACAATAATCATATGCTAACCTTGAGTATAGAATGTCTTGTTTACCTTATCCCAAAACACACAAACGTTACAATCTACAGTTCTACACCAGTTTGCACAAAACATAGCCACCACGTTGTCCGTGACCGACATACTGACAGAACTTATTTAACCATAACAAATATAACTTTCATATAATTATGACCCCAGGCTGTGACAACTTTGGTGTGGTCATATTTTAAAGGCGTTTATTCGACTCCATGACTCTTGCGATTCAATTACACCAGAACTGCTGAACTGCTATTTACATAAATACTTTTCTAACAGATAAAAAAATAATTTAATTCCTGTTAATTCCTGTCGCAGTTTAATTCCTGTAAAACAGGAATTAAACTGCGGCCATATAAACTACGAGTAAAAAAAAAGAAAAAAGTATTTTATTTTTTTAATAAGTATAGGTAAATGAATTTGGAAAATAATCGCGGTAACTGCTGTACTTACTTAAAAATAATAATAATAATAATATCTTGTTAATATCCGCTACACGCTAAAACGTGATGAGGGGGTAAACGAATCTTGATGAAAATTGACACAGAGGTAGATTACAATCAGGTATAACACATAGGTATACAATATGCTAACTTTTACCTATTTTATTTTTTGACAAGGTAAATGTGTCATGTATAAGAAAATCGTAACTTACTGTTTGAGAGCCATGTTTCGACACAAATGGACCGGTTCGAACGGAGTGACACCACGGTCTTACAGAAAACCGGCGTTAGAAATTCGTTCGTTGTTATTTATCGAGTGAGTTATTTTATCGGGCCCCAATACCGTGAGTTTGACTGCACGGATGGCGTAGTGGTTTCAGCGGTCGCCACGCCGTTTACTACTGCGCTGAGTGTTGTGGGTCCGATCCCCACATGGGACGACACTTTGTGTGATTCACAAATTGTTGTTCTGAGTCTGGGTGTTCTTTGTGTCCATTTAGTATATGTTTGTAAAGTCCCCGCGACACAGGATATATTTCTAATGCGGGAGTTGTATTTTTCAAGTAAATTAAAAAAATATATATACCAAGGGAAGAATTGATTGAAAGTACGGGTAAAGCAGCTGGTAAAAGCCAGTTTAAAAGCATTGGTAGGACGGAAAGGAAGGATATATGAGGCGGAAGAAAAGACATCCAAAAATAAGAGTTTCTTTGAACTGTTCAGTATATTTCATGTGATAAAGTATTATCATTCAAGGTTCTGTTTTACTTAAATTTTATAATCAGGTTGGAAAGCTGCACACTCTGAGGCTAGCCGTTCTGAAACTACTTAAATTTGCCTTCGTATATTTGTTTTAAGATTTTAGCCTAGACTGCACTTTAATGCTAAGATAACTTGTTAGGGTTCAAGTCAAAAAGTAAAAAAGGAACCTTTATAAGATCACTTTCTTGTCCGTCTGTCCGTCTGTCCATGTGTCACTACCGATTTTCTCAGGGACGGGTAGACCTAGCAAGTTGAAATTTATACCAGATACTGAGGTCTATGGTCGCCTATTTGGTGTATAAAAATCAAGGTCCTGAGTCAACACGATAAAAAGATATGGGCAAATAAAGGAATAATACCAAAAAATAAAAAAAGTTGAAAATTAAGACAAATTTTGGTACTTACAAATTTTTGCGAAAATCTGCGTAAAATCTGCGCACGAAATGACTCGTACCTTTTTTTTAATAATTTGGATTTGTGATATTTTAAAGTGTTTAAACTAGACTTGCAACGAATAGTATATTCGGCAGTATACCGAATACCGAATATTCGGCGAGGCCCCTGACCGAATAGCCGAATATTAGGCAAAAGTATTCGGCTGGATTTTAGCGCCAAACACTTGTACAGACGTGAATTAAATTATGTACCTGTTTTATGTACCAATGACTACTTAATAAATGATTATAAAAGAAATAAGAACCTTACCCTTCTAAATTTTGATTACCACAATAATTCAAATACATAAAATCCTCTATTTTTCCAATTCAGAAGATGATTATGTACCTGTGTTATGCACCAATGACTACTTAAATGATTATAACAGAAATAAAAATATGAATATATACGTAATCAATCGATTTTAATTTTTCATTTTACCAATTATTTCTCAATGACAAAATATATTATTTAAGTATTCGGTATTCGGCCGAATAATATATAGATATTCGGTATTCGGCCGAATATAATAAAAGCAGCCGAATAGGCCGAATACCGAATAGTAACCGAATATTCGTTGCAAGTCTAGTTTAAACTAAACGTAATATCGACTCATTTTACTTTTATAAAACTTTTTGTTGCTACTTCCACATACAATGTATGATGTATATAGATTATATATTCACTGTTGTATAAACAGTGGCAGTATCAGTACTAAGCAATGTGAAGTGTTGACCCAATCGCGCAATGAAAAGCTTACATTTCAAGCGTGGTACGGGGTTAAGGGCAAGGCCTTTGGGAAGGATCCCACTGTCCCTTGAACTTCTGCGAGGCATGCATTTCCTGAACTCATTAATAACACAAGTAACAATTAAAATTGTTTCCGTAAATTCATCGGATGTCGGGTAATAAAATATGTCGGAACGATGAACTATTATTACACGTCATTTTTATTGATATATAACGTACAATGATGCTTCAATGACGAATTAATAAAATATTTTCGGCAACAAGCAGGAAATTTTTTGCGTTTCGGCGATGTCTACTTACTGATTTTTATGAGTACCTGATTAATGGTACCTTGCAAATTATGCGTTATCGAGGAAGATTTTTTGTTAATAATGTTATTTTTATGTAAATTTTTGGGACATCTTTCGGGGTTTTTTTATTGTCCATCTGTTTGTTCCGGCTCGTCGGCGTATAGCTGATACTACTAGTTTAGATTTGAAATTATAATTAGGATTCCACACAAAATTAAATTATACAAATCTGCGTTGGTAAACATATATACTCATCAATTTTTTCAAGCATAAAAATGCTTGCTTGAAAAAAATGTTGTGTGGTGGTGTTGTCATTGTAATTATTTATATTATTATATCATTATTATTTTTTATATCTGACACACAACGCCATCTAGTATCGACAAACGAGTACTGTCAAAGCTCGATTGACTGATAGAATACATACTTTTTTGTTCGTTAATACGTACATATTAGATGTAGAAAACACACAAACTCCGAAACCTGCTGACATTTGTCAGCAGATTACACAAACATTTAGTTCGACCCGGTAACCGAACCCGAGTTCTCAGCACAACAGTCGCGTACGCTACCACTGTACCACCGAGGCAATCAATAGTACATACATGACTACATATTGTTTATATGTGCACAAAAACTTTTTAAGCAATTTTACCTCATTACGTACTTTTACACTGACAACTGATTTTTAACCGACTCCAAAGTCTCAAAAGGAGGAGGTTCATAATTCGTTTGTTTTTTTTTTTCAAGTCAAGTCATAGATTTGTTCTATAAACAAATCCTGGACTTTTAATATATTGCCAGTGTGCTTTGTATAAATGATATTATTGATTGTTAATACTAATACAGAAGTTAATAGTGTTATTACAATACATGTCACATACAAATGCTTAAAGAAAATACAACTTACAACGCATAATAATAAGGTACATTATCTTTTTCTTTTATTAATTACTTGTTTTCCTTTGCAGTGGAGGATGCCAGTGGTCGGTACACATCAATGTTCTATTGGGGCAACAACTACTGGACGGGGTCCGCTGAACTCTGTGATATACTGAACGAAGAACACGAGCCTACGCGACTAGGCAACAGTGAGTACACACAATATGCAATTATATGCTGAGCGAATAATGTTCAGTTCGCGTTGGTAATTTCTAGGAGGGATAACTGCAGATAGATCCAGGTTTAAATGCATATATATGTGAGGTTGTGAAATTATACATACGCTTTACAAGGCTCGTGAAATATACATATAAATACTAACATTTGCCCACGGATACGCTGACATTAATAACATTTTTTTCAATCAAGTTTTACAGGATGAAAAGCCTTGGTACTGTTTTAAATTATAATCCATCAAATCCTAACTAAATTCCTCAAAATCAGTTTTTCAATCTTACTGCTATTGAAAATGCGAAAGTTGTATCATTCACGCCAGAACTTATTAACTTATCTTGATCTGATATATAACTAGCTAACCCGGCAAACGTTGTATTGCAAAACAAAAAAAATAGGGATGGGTCACCCTTACCATTTAGAGGTATGAAAAATAGATGTTGGCCGATTCTCAGACCTACCCATGACACGAGAATTTTATATATAAGAAATTCTCGTGTCACAATGTTCGTTCCCGTACTCCTCCGAAACGGCTTGACCGACTCTCATGAAATTTTGTGTGCACATCGGGTAGGTCTGAGAATTGGACATCTATTTTTCATACCCCTAAATGGTAAGGGTGACCCATCCCTACTTTTTTTTTGTTTTGCAATACAACGTTTGCCGGGTCAGCTAGTAGATTTTATATAATAGGGTACTCTTCCTCCAGAAACAATTGATAGACACATCGAGAACAGCGCCAGCGAACTCGCATGCAAAAACTCCTTAGCCCCCCTCTCAACAAGATGATATGTAATATTTCTCACATAATTGATTACCAAACACGATTCTACGGTCTTACATAATATTAAAAAACAATAACTGTTCACTTTTCATTCAATTTTCCTCGTAATATCTTTTCCAACCATTAAACATAGGTACAAAAAATTATGACGATTGTTGGGAAGTTTTCACCGCACACATAATAGCCAAGCAATCAATAGACCGAATCTGGTTTTCTATGATTACATCAGCCTTTGTTGTATCTGTGGTACATAATTCATACACGTCTAAGTAATAATATTAATTTGATACATCTCACACACCCGTCTGTTTTTCACACAGTGTGTGTGTGTGTGTGTGTGTGTGTGTGTGTGAGAGAGATCGACGATCAGTCGTCTAGGTTACAATCTTCCCTAATTCGGTTAGAAAACGATTACAATCCCAAGAAGTAAAAGTAATTATTACTATAATAATCAAACTTCACACATCTCACACACGGCCGTCTGATCCCAAACTAGGCTGAGCCTGTACTATGGTAACCAGACTGCTGATAATCATACTTATATATTACTAAATACATACATATTGTAGATAACACCCAGACACAGAACAAATCATCGTGCTCATCACACAATTATTTGACCTAAATGGGAATTGAACGGACGACCTCCAGCTTAGCAGTCAGGGTCAATAAGCACTAGACCAACAGGCCCGTCGACCAACGGTAAAGTAAAAAAATCAGTTAAAACCTCATAGACTGTTACACATTGCGCGAACCCCAAAACAAATTTCTAAAAGAGTGGGAAAATGATGATAATGAATACATGTCATAGATAAGTTACACACAGACAAAGAACAACCCTTGGGAGAGCCTTGCTTCGGTACAAATGTAGGGTACAAAACACGGGTACGGCCCGTGGTACTGCCTCAAACAAAACCAATGTTAAAACATTATTTTGTTGTTTTGTGAGTGAGATTAGCGGAGAACAAACACCCATCCCTACTTATGATTCAGGGAGAGAGCTCAAAGGGCGGCAACGTAGCTAAGATTTGCAAGTGTCCATGGGCGACGGTGGTCACTTACTATCAGGTGACCTGCATGCTCGTTTGCCCCTATATCATAAAATAATAAAATACCATTTTATAATTATTCGTTCCGACACAACCTTTGGATCAGCAGTTCGCAGCAGCATTCAAAAGTTTATATCTATACATACCACTACAATAACAAGCTCATCAAGATTTGATAAAATGTAGGACTGTAATGCATCTCTGCCTGCCCCATCAGGGTTTCAGGCAAAAGTGTATGACTAAAGAGGTACGCCAGACCATTGTGCAAGGCTGCATGTTGTTTGTAGAAAGCAAGCAAACACCCCTTGACCCAGTACACGGAAACGCGCAGAAACAACAATTCTTGTATAATCTGGGTTGTTAAATATATTAAGAAATTATTGGATTGAGGTCTTTTGATAAATAAGGAAAGAGGTTTTTTTAATAACGTGTAATTTCCTCCTTGTGTTGGCACCTCATTTCTGTCAAGTTCCATTCCTCATGTACAGCTTTGACTTTTGATTTTTAAGGGTTCCGTACTCAGAACTCAGAGTACTCAGAAAGAAAAATCGGAACCCTTATAGGAACACTTTGTGGGCCGTCTATCTGTCTGTCTGTCAAGCCCCTTTATCTCGGGAACGCGTGGAGGTATAGAGTTGAAATTAAAACCTTATATTCAAGTCGACGGTCGCTTAAAACTACAAAATAATAATCAAACTCCTAATTTAACGTAAATAAGATACTGGCGTTTATGCCGCAAACAACGCAATTCCGCTCTCAAGGGAATCAAAATTCAATATTTGACGACCGAATGGCGTAGTGGTTTGTGTAACGGACTGCTATTCCAAAGGTCACGGGTTCGATTCCCGCTCAAGTCAAACATTCGTGTGCATGAACATTTAATGTTTGATTTGGTCTGGGTGTTTCTATGTATAATAAGTATGTATTTACAAAAAAAAAGTAAATATGTATTTATATCAGTTGTCTAGTACCCATAGTACAAGCTCTGCTTAGTTTGGGACAGCGTTGTGTGAATGTGGTACAATATTATTATTATTATTGGGTACTTCCCGTCGACCTTTGGCAATCTGGCAAGTAACATCGCCTTATACTACAAGTACAGGGTAAAATCTAAAAACTATACATTTGTAAATAAATCATAGGCAACATAGTCTTTATTTAAAGTATGTAATAAATCATCAAGGTATAAATTTCTCGTATAAAACTCAAGAACAAAACTAATTATAGGTTTTGGAAACTGAATTTTGTTCGAAGCTCGGCAAAAACTGCGAGATTCGATGCCTGAATTTATAATATGTACTTACAAATGTGTACGGAACCCTCGGTGGGCGAGTCCGATTCGCACTTGACCGGATTTTTTTTGATGACACAAATACATCTCTGGGTACTTTTCGTTAATAAAGGTCTGATGAGTATATGCATGAATTAAATTAGTTTTATAAAAAAATATTCAAACTACGAGTAGCTTGCCAGAGGTCACAGGTTCAATGCATAGGGCATTGAACCAATGCAAAAGCATTATTTCTTTATTTCTTACGAGAGATTGTGTAACTACTTCTAGCGGCCACATGACTTGTTCAGATTTGTTTACTTATTGAGTATATACATTTAAGAGACTGTACAAATACACATACACACAGGTCACACAATTACATCACAGTGCCTCAAACAACAATTACGAAACATCAACTACAATGCACACTTTAGATCACCACAGATAAAATACAAAAAGTTTTATCGCAAACGACTATTTTCATTAAAAAAAAAAACCTAAATGCAGTAAGGCAACATTTTCCTTTTTCTACTTCGTATAATGTTATTTTACATAAACTATTACTATCTTAACGTTTCTATTGTGTAAGTTTTATTAAAATAATACCTCTTGCTTACGTCTTTGTTCCGTAATTGTGATATCATTGTCTTGATGAAAGGATACACTGTATAATTATAATAATAATATACCTCACACATGTCACACACGGCCGTCTGATCCCAAACTAGGCAGAGCCTGTACCATGGTAACCAGACTGCTGATAAACATACTTATATATTTTCAAACACAAACGTATTATAGATAAATTAGACACAGAACAAAGGACCGTGCTTATTACACAATATTTGTCCTGGGTGGGAATAGAAACCACGACCTCCAGTTTAGCAGTCAGGGTCACTAGCCACTTGACCAACAGGCCTATCTTATATCTTCTGCTATACTTTTCAAAAAGTGTAAATATAGAAAATGTTATCATTGATATGTTGATTTATAATATAGGGGGCATACGAGCAGGCGGGTCACCTGATAGTAAGTGACTACCACCGTCTATAGACACCTGCAACTCGAGGGCAGTCACAAGTGCACTACCACCTTTATGCCACTCCCGCCAGAATCAAGGGGAGCTTTGGGCTCCGGTGACCTTACCCACTTACTCAAGTATATTTTTTAGTAAAACTCAAAACACATAATATCTTTATTCCAAAGAAAAAGTTTTATATCCTCTTTTATGATGAACACACACAATAGCAACAATCTCTGTTTCGACAAATAGTTAGCAAAATAAATTTAATAAAAATTACACTTATACAATATCTATTATATGCCTGTGCCGAGCCACAACCGTTCATAGGGCCCAACCTCTTGGTTGGGCCCTATGAAAAGAAACGGCAAAACAAACTCATGGCCACTCTTTTGCAATGTACAAAGTCATCGTTATATATATTAAGCATGTCATTTGCATAAGAGCATAACAAACCAACAATCTCACGTTTGAATTTATTCTATATTAATTCGTATGCAAATTATTACTAAATTATACTAAGAAATCAGTAATAATTGTGGCACAAAAATATCAGGGCGCGTTGATGTCTTTTATATGAAGCTGCGCAAGCGCATCAACTCACAGCACAACAATACAAATTTATTACACATTATTGTTTAAATTTATATTGTTCTCTTTTGTCTACTTATGTAATGATACTATAATTTGAAATTGGCCTATTTATTACAATAGTTTAGTTACGTATTATGACTCAATGTGTGTGTGTGTGTGTGTGTCCAGCTTACTGTAACGTAAGTTTAATAACGAATGACAAAGAGTTAAAATGTAGTTAGGTGGAAAAACTGTTATAACTATTTATATTTAATAATAATGTTAATTTAATAAAAAGTCTTAGTTTTGTAATCGACTTAAAACATAATATTCTCCATTTGCATGTATCGTACGTATACATTTTTAAGTCCACGATTTTCTTACATACCAATAAATAAATAAAATTAAAGTATATGTTTGATGATGTTAAAATATATCAGCTTTTTTGTAAATTAATATTGGGAGATACACTGTACAATTTTCATTTGTGAAGAAACCTACTTTTGTCATCTAAATAATATAAGAAAAAAATTAAATACACTAAATTTCTGCCTACCTCTTTGGACATACATATCGTAGTAATGTTTAAAAAAATGACATATGTTTCAGAGAGCACTACGAACGACATCTTCCACGACTGGCGCCAGGACCTGTCGATGACTGGCTCCGGGCCTCCCTTCGAGACGGCCTTCTACGTGGCGCGGGTCATCATCACCACCAACCTGACAGAGATTGTTAAAACTGTGAGTTACCGCTTATTTATATATTTAAAATTACTTGCCCTGACGACTGACTAACTCATCATCGCAGAGCCTAAACCTGGAGCTACAGACTTGGAATTTTGATGATTTTTATATTTTACACCATTTTTATATTTAACACCTAATATTATTTATTTTAGTAATTTGACATCTGAAGGGATGAACGGTGTGGAAGTTCGTCATTTTCAAAGTTGGAAACACGAAATAAAAAATATACACGCGAGTGAGCCCGCGGGCAATAGCTAGTTACAATATATATGGAGGAACGGGTGTCATGTCCCTCTAACACAAAAGGATCCTCCGGCCAGGCGAGGTGATCATGCCTGGCAGGCCGCGGCCTAATGGTTGATGTTCACGGTTCAAGGATTGATCGGCGTGAGAAAGTTTTCGTATCGCGATACAGGATAAGCGGTTACTCTGTAGTTCAAAGTGTCTTCGTTAGATGGCACTGTAGTATGTTTCTTCGTTTCACTATATGTGGTAGTCGCCACATATATATGTATACCATTCAAGTGTGGCTTTAAAGTAACTTTTGCATTTTACGATTATGTAATTTCTTATGAATAATAAAAGACCCTTCAACTTAACAAATAAAAGTGCGTTGCCACAATTGTGTACTCTCCTCCAGAATTATGAGGGAGGATGCTTGGGCCTTCAGTAACCAATTTCCTGTGAAGCTGTGGGAGCACGCCCGTCAAACAGGCCCATAATGTGCCGAAGTATGGCACTCCCATGGTATTTGCTAATGAAATTAAAATAAAACTAATATAGCATATTTCTTTCAGCGTCGAACCCTACACCTCGGCATCTGTTTACCGTTCTCATGCTCCCGAGCGTCGGTTGCTTCTCTGGTAGGAGATGCCCGGGCCCCCCTACTGTCCCACAAGGTCGTGGCCGTAAGGTCGCCTCAGCATGGAGGTTATACGTATCTTGGAGATCCAACCTTCATCGTACTACTGTGAGTATACGACGTCATATTCTCCGAGACACTTCTAAAATCAATCAGCTCAGTTTTTATTTATTTTACTTATTTATTTTACACGTTATGCACATTAGGTGCATTGGCGGACTTAATGCCAAAGATATTCTTCATTCTTTGGCATCAAGTTTAAAAACATAAAGCATTTGACAGTAAGCATTTAAGTTTTAAAACAGGACAGTTTTTGACTGCCAAGTCAAATTTGTAACACTTTTTTTAATGTCAATTGTGTTGTGTGTAGGATACTTGTGTAAAATAATTAGTGTTATTTGAAAGTAGATTAATAGAATAATTATAAATATACTAGCTGATCGACAGACGTTGTCCTGGCTTAATAAGGAATGTTGAATTTGCATTGGTATAACTTCAGTTAGACTTGTTCTTGTATATCTTTGACTTGTAGCATTGCGAACTCTGCGACTTAAGTTTGTGCGTCTAATTGCTGGCATTGTATTCTTCTTTATAACCATATACACCTTAAAAAAACTTACCAAAACTCCAATTGTCAATATTAATATAATAGTAATTACAGTAATAGTAGCCCTTTAATAAAATAATAACAGACGTTTTTTATACTTTATGAGTACTGTTAAATTTACATAAATATTTAAGATTTAATTTACGTATTTGGACCCGATGGAGGCACTTCTTCAATGTGTTAAGCGCCGTGCCGCAACAGACGCTCACTATAGCCAACTATGACACTTGTCTTCATCTCCATGTTCAAAGTGACTACAGATAGAAGATACTCGCTGAACGTTTTGGACACATCATAAAATAAGAGACAGAAGAAAAAAAAAATTTGTCAGGGAACAAACTTTGTGGTATACTAATAAACACACACATCTCACACAGCCATCTGATCCTAAACTAGGCAGAGCCTGTATTATGGTAACCAGACTGCCGATAACAGACACAGAACAAATGATCGTGCACATCACACAATATTATTCCTGGGTTTAAATTGAACCCACGACCTCTCGCTCAGCTCGTCAGGACTACTAACAACCACTAAACCAACAACCAAAATAACATAATTATGAACACTGTTAACATAATTATGAAATACCAACATTATAATATTTCTTAAGAGAACGTTACTCAAGTCCGACTTGGGATATTCCACTTTCTAAACGGTGTTTGTGTGTCGAATGACGTCACCGTTTATGGTCTAGTCCGGCCTGAAGTCTGGCCGGAGACCTTTTGAATGTAGTACAACAAGGTTTTATGTAATATTTGTCAGTTATACAATATATTGAGTAATTAAGAATGGCAGTTATGACGTTCTCGTTGTTCAAAATTGCTTGCTATTTAATTGTAATCCGTGTGAGGTACCAATATGTTAATTCTCATAAGGTTCTTCTCATAAGGCTCAACCCCTTGGAAACGGGCGGTTGTAGATCGGCACAGGCATATCATAGATTTTGTATGGGTTTGATTTTTGTAAATTTAACAAAAATCAAACCCATACATATATTTGGTTACTATTTGACAAAACAGAGATTGTTGCTTTTGTGTGTGTTGATCTATGACTTTAGAGTCTACATGGAAGACGATTTCAAACAATTTTGAAAATTTTATGAAATAAAGAAAGTTTGAGTTTAATGATTTATATCTGTGTATTATTACGTAAGGAGAATACTTTGTGTGCATTTTAAGAAAAAATCCCGAATTTAGAATACTGCAGGCTTACTTATACAAGTGCAGAAAACTGAAATTTTGAAACTATATATGTGTTACGTTAAACAATGTAAATAAAATATGTACTTATGTTCAGTTTTATGTTGAACTACCAGGGTTTCATGTAACTAGTATAGTGTACAAGCCCTTGGGAACATTATAGGTTTCTTATTTTGTCCCAAATATCATTTACCAAAAGCATCGAGAAACCGCATGCCAATGTCAATATCGCCCAAACTTGTTTGTTTGTCAAACGACATAGATACGGCGTAAATTTTTAATAGAAGTGTAGTGTAACAAGTTCTTATTCAATACTAATATATTTTGTTTACAAATACACATACCTACATTGTGGTTTGCACAAAATTCCTTTGACAGTAGGATCTGTAATCTCTTTATAAATAAACAAAAAGGTTTCTATTCCTTTCAGTTCGAAAATATTATGAAATTACTCTCTTTATAGCGTAAAATACATTGTCAAGTTTATTTTAAATTTTGGAAAACAAAATTTATGTATTAAAACTGAAATAAACTGGAAAGCAATTAATTTGGGTCACAAAATCTGTAAACTGAAAATCTTATTTTATTTTATTTATTTCCATGCGTTGACGGATTAAGAATACAGAGTGTCACCACCCCTATTCATCCCGTGGGTGTCGTAAGAAGCACTGCAGAGAGAAGGAAAACGTGACAGAAACCCTATACCGACCCGTCTGGCCAGCGTGGTATAGTGCGCCAAAACCTCCTGTCTAAGGAGAGGCCTATGTCCAGCAGTGGACTAGTAAAGGCTGTTGATGATGATGATGATTTCGGACAAAAAACAATCATACATTGCAGTCTTTACAAGTAATTTAGAACTTACATATCTAAAACGTATAACCCACACTATTGTCCACAAGTTTACAGCTGGAGTAAAAAGGAAAACGCGCACTATATCAGTGAATTATATATTATAATATAAGATAGATAATTAATTAAAAAATGAAATCATTGACCAGCAAGTTTTTTTTTTATTTAGAGTAAGTGAGAGCAAAAATATCCAAGTTCGTAACATGTGAGTTGTACGTTGTCAATAATCGGCGAAGAGGTGCACGCTCTCCATTAAATAATAATAAATAATATTTTTACACATCTCACACAGCCGCCTGATCCCAATCTAGGCAGAGCCTGTACTGTGGTAACCAGACTGCTGATAAACATACTTATATATTTCTAAACACATACATATTATAGATAATTACAGTATTACACCCAGACACAGAACAGTGAACCTCTGGAGTAGCAGTCGGGGTCACTAACCACTAAACCAACAGGCCAGTCGATTAGTTCTACACTTTTCCGTGTAGAATAGTGGAGGTACGTGCACCTCCCTCCGAATAACATTATTGACAACTAAGAATGCTAGCTTATACAGAGATAAACACACAATTGAATGTGCCTTAAATAAAAGTTACGCTATTTACCTATCTTTTTGTATTACATTCATGACCAAATACATAACGTAAAAATAAGGTTTACTATTGTACACCATCGAATGTCTTTGTAGTTAAATATTTCATGGCCATTTTAAAACGTCGAATTGGACCTAATGTCTAAAATAAAGTACTTAAATATCAATTTAAAAAAAATATCTGAAATTGCGAATTTTCATCATCACGAATGCTTTGACTTTAGACAAGTTTATCTCTTTTGCAATACTGAATAGTCACGCCTTTAACAACATATTAAATGCCTAAATTTTGTTGCCCATTGTATAGTTATAAGCCCGTATTTTAAAAGGTGTCTCAGTCGTGAATCTAGTCTTAAAACTAATTTTAAATAGAGATTTTTTATTATTGAACGTCACTTAAAACGAAATTCACCGATCCATGTTCAAGTGAGTGATAGCTTATTTTAGGACGATGTTTATGTCGAAATTTTTAATCAGGCATAGATTTTGACAGTTGTGATCTTTGTTTACGTGAGACAAGCTGAAACTAGTCTCAAGCGGTGATTACTAGAGCATTTTAGGTGCAATGAATGTATTTTAGGATGATTTGTTTCTAAATAATTACGAAAGATTTAAGTACCTAATTTTATTTACGAAAGAATTACTTGTCATACTATAATCAATTTACCTTAATTGATATCAAATTCAATGAAATTAGTCTTACTTACGTCATAGGTGGTAGGCAAGCCTGTTACCTTTAAGCGAGCGACCGAGCGACCTTTAAGTTGTGGATAGGGAGAGAAGATAATGGTAGAACAGAGATAGAGTTATTTAAGAGACAAGTTTTAGAGACAAAGTTTAAAACATATGGTAATCTGTCCGATGATTATTCTTTTCGACTACTTCGCGATAGGGTTAAAAAAACTGAGAACAAGTGTTATAAGGAATACATAGTGTCTGTTGAAAATTCTATTTTAAAAAATCCTAAACAGTTTTGGTCATACATAAAAAATATCCGCCGTTGTAGCTCTTACCCGTCGACCATGAACTATCTGTCCACCACAAGCAACTCGGCTGAAGGTATCTGCCAGCTATTCAGTTCATATTTTAGCTCCGTCTTTTTAGGCAGTAATAACCAACCTCAGTCTTACCACAACACTGAAGTAGCAAACTCTAAGTGTGACATATCAACTGTTAAACTGAGTGCTCAGCGTATACATGAACTACTGAAGTCTCTAGACCTTAATAAGTCAGCTGGGCCCGACACTCTTCCCGCATTATTTTTGGTAAAATGTAGTAAAGAGCTGACGGTACCAGTTTCCATAATTTTTCAGCGTTCTATGAACGAAGGAGTAATGCCTAAGATATGGAAAGCCGCTTTCGTTACCCCAATACATAAGAAAGGTTCGAAAAATGATATTGTAAACTACAGGCCTATTTCTAAGCTCTGTCATCTAGCTAAAATCTTTGAGCGATTAGTTTTTGATCAAACATTCGAATGTTTAAAAAATGAACTTATTCTTGAGCAACACGGTTTTATCAAAGGTAGATCAACCACGACCAATTTAGTTATCTTCAATGAATATTTAAGTAATAATATGGATAATAATAATCAAATAGATGCAATATATACCGATTATACTAAAGCATTTGATAGATTAGATCACAGAATATTATTAAACAAAATGGCAGGTTTGGGCATAGGTGGCAATCTTATTCAATGGTTTGCATCATATCTGACTAATAGAAAGCAAGCTGTTGTTCTAGATGGGTGTTCTTCTAACTGGGTAGATATCCCGTCGGGTGTTCCGCAAGGATCGTTATTAGGACCACTTCTATTTATTTTATTTATCAACGACATTGCTTCCTGTTTTTTAAATTCTAAATTTCTATTGTTTGCTGATGACATGAAGATATTCCGTATTATTAATAATGTTGGAGATGCGTTACTTCTTCAGGAAGATTTAGATAGATTAGACATGTATTGTGAACGTAACAAATTGGACTTAAACGTATCTAAATGCTTTTCTATCACCTTTACACGGAAACGCATTCGCAGTGGTGGCAGGCGGGACTCAGTTCCCTCCTAGCGACCGTGTGCAGGTACCTTCCGAAGCAACCGTGCCCGGAAAGCACCTGCGTCAGTCGGAAGGAAAGGGTCCCGTGCTGCCGCCCTGCCCACTCGGCGATGACCGGCTGGAGAGCCTCCACGGCGGCGAAGCCAGCGCGTGGAGTCTCCAGCCGGAACGACCAACGAGCCATCGTGGCTCGGCGAGCGGCTTCGCGCCACTCGCGCACATCCTCGGGCGGAGGGCGAAATCCGCTCTCCGCCCGGTAGTCAGCCACTCGCCGATAAACTTCGGCGAGCACTTCCGCCTCCAAATCCCACGGGGGAGTTCCGGCCAACGCGCACGCCACCTCCGTCGAAACGGTGCGGTAACCGCGTATGGCTCTGACCGCCTTTACCCTCTGAGTCCACCCATATTGGGCAAAAGTCGCCCTAGGGCAGACGCAGCGCCGACCAGCTTTGGAGCAAGCTGTCGGAAGTGCTCGTCGAAGAGCCACCTTCCGTCGAGGATCAGGCCCAGATATTTCATCTGGGCCCGAACCGGTACGAGGACCGAGTTGACCACGATGGAGGCGCCAGAGGGTGGACCACGACGGGGCCCATGAAATAACAGGGCCTCCGTCTTATCTAGGGCCACCCGTAATCCCTATACCAACCCGTCTGGCCAGCGTGGTATAGTATGCCAAAACCTCCTTTTTAAGAAGAGGCCCATGTCCAGTAGTGTACTATTAAAGGCTGTGGATTTGCGATGTGAAGTATTTGTCTCTAAGCTGAAGGTGTATTCGTAATAAGACTGCTCCAATGCTATTAAACAGTGCCTTCTACGCTACGCTAATTCTACTTCTTCCAGCTATTCGAACTGTTTTATGTCATCTTTTAAATTGTATCATTTACATTCCAGTGCCGTTTCCACCGTAGTCGGCCTCCTCCTGATTACATCAACAGCGTACGATATGAAGATAACTCGTGACGTGCGCAGACGCAAACAGCGCGTTGCCAATATCACGGCCAACAGCAGCGCAGGCACCGACCTCAAGCTCAACTTGAACGGACTTGATGATATCACTGTAGCTAATGGTTAGTCACTATAATCCTATTACTCAACCGCAGGAAAGCTGGGGTTCGCCACAAATTGGCCGGCTTGACCAGAGTGACACTACGGCCTCGTAATTAGCATTAAACTTGAATTTTTCCTTTTTTTTTAATTTTATGCAAAGCAATGTTTCAATCAATGGTCAAATACAAGAAACTCAAAGGTCACAAGTGCATTGCTACCCATTAAGTCCAACTCCCTCTAATCTAGGGAAGTAAGTTTGGTCTCCAGAAACCTCCCACTCTCGGTGAAAGAAATGCTTAACAGTGGTTTTCTGTGAGGCTGTAGCCTGTTTGAGCCGAAGCTGGCGAAGTGGCGATTCTAATTATCGTAAAAGTGGATTGGAAGAGGTGGTTGGACTCGTACGGATACGTATTGGCAGTAGCAAATCAAAATATGAACATATTCCTCGTTCTTACAGCTCATCATCTTCAATAGTATCAAAATCACAAATCAAAGTCCACTTAGTTAGTCACGAATAGGAAACAAACAGTCCAAAAATTTGACAATAGTTGACAATAGTGGTGTAAGCGGTCGCCACGCCGCTCACTACAACGCTGTGGGTCCGATCCCCACATGGGACGACACTTTGTGTGATTCACAAATTGTTGTTCTGAGTCTGGGTGTTATTTGTGTCCGTTTTATGTATGTTCGTAAAGTCCCCCTCGACACAGGATTTATTATTAGTGCGGGAGTTGTCTTTTGAAAAAAAAAGCTAAGTTTTCAACTAATTACTACCGGGTTGCACGCTACTTCTTACTACTCCCGGTCTTTCATCTAAGTTTTTTCCATGAATTCTGATACTATCCTATACTATTGTACATTGTGTTCCATAACTGAGAATACGTACATTTCTTTAATAAATCTGCAGTTTAACTGTCATAGTTTTATTTTATCATATTCGTCAAAGAAATTTTTTTTTATTACAAATTTATTTATTTTTCCTATTATTAACCATCTACGTCGGCCTAGATTGTTAAGTTATTGTATTTTAGTAATTAGACATTAAAAACAATTTATCAACTATACAAAAACAGTAAAAAAACATAAAATAAAAGATGTCTTAAAAAATTGTATTACGCTAAATTTCGGCAATTTTTATAAAAAATCTTAAAAGGTCATTATGTAGCCGCTTTTCTTCTCAGGCGGACTACTCACCGGCTGACCCAGTGGAGAGATCTATGAGATTACCTCAGGGCGCCTTCTAAGAGAAAAGAAGTGTGTGCGTGTGGGAAACCTACGGGACTCTTTAGAGGAAAACAACTTACACCTACTGAGGTGTAAGTTGTTGGTGTGAGGTGTAAATTTAATTTTGTTTTGAAATATACATGTATGTATGACTGCATACATACATGTATATTTCAAAACAAAATTAAATTTACAATAAAAAAAAATCAGAGGGTATAAAAAAAAACCGCAGCGGAGCGCGTCAGAGCCGAGCTGATGGTGCTCGGTGCCTCCTCGTCGTCCCTCCAGGAGGTTACTTCCTCTTCCGCCCGAGTCGGCTATTTATATTAGATACGGATAAAAGTTTAACAAATTACAATTATAAGTTTAAGTACGTAACTCTTGGGTACGGCTGTCCGCTTGCGTCGTGAGCCGCGCAATCACCAGCTTTGCCAGAGGGTACCGAGAAACTTGAGTCTGTACCAGAAGGCCACAAAAGAGCAAGCACGCCGTCTAAGACTGACTGTCTTGACCCCGAAATCTGGGACCCTACGAATGGATTAGCACTCATATAATTAAACAGGTTCCAGAAACAAATAGGTTTAAGTAGAATTAAGAACATACTCACCACTTTAGTGTGGGTACTTTTGAACAGATAATATACTAAGAAAATCAAATCACACAGCAATCAAAACACTATATAAGATCGGAAGGCACGAGATAGCAGTGTCTCCCGTGGAAGAAAGCCGGACTTATATATCCTAGGTTCAGGAAGCTTCCAGACTTTATCCCTACTCAACATTTTACTTTGACATTTAACATCAGTGAACACAGAAGATCAAAACTGTAGTTATAAACTACCTTAGATAAATTAAAAACAATGCAACGCGGCTAATAGATGTAGCTTTTAACAAGACCAACAAATGTACAAAAAAATAACTGTTACAATTATCTTCAAAATGGTTAGGTTTGGGATATGGTATTTCATAGTAAAATCTATCAGAAATTATAGCAACTACAATCTCTCAAAGTAAGGTCGACTTACCCAGTAACCCTGTATATACCAGAATTTTAATTTTACCATTTAACCCGGAATAAGACCCTAATAGTAGTGTTTGGTGCAGGCAAGTCGATGTACAACGTGAACAACAATCTCGCCATCAACAGCAACACGTCCGAAGAGAGCCTCACCGCCGACACCGCGTCCACTTCCACTGATGAACTCAAACTTAGTAAGTAACAACTACCACGATTTACAAAACCTCAAGCCATAATAGTTCCGCCTTATAAAAAGTTTAAATGATCATAAAACCTTCTGTATTTAAATAAGAATATATGACTTCTTATATAACCCTGCCATAGCTGAGTGAACACATTTTTTTTAAACCATAGTCAACAAAAGTTTTATAAAAAATTTAACGTGAGACACTGGGCATAAAAGTAACAGTTTAGTAGCATGCCAAATCAAATACACTCTTTATTAAAGTAATACATTCTGTAGACATTAGTGTAAACTAAAGGTTTATGACGTCACAACCAGTAATTGTCAAATCATTTACATACCAAAAATACAAACTTAAAAAAACAAACAACAAAGATTTTATTAACGTATTATTTTTAACGATTTTATAACGTAAAATGCAGAGGACTGTGGTAACTAGACCGCTGATAAACATACTTATAATTTTATTTCCAAATACATATGTATATATCCATAGTAATATTGTAAATGCGAAAGTGTTGTCTGTCTGTCTGTTACGTCTTCACGCTTAAACCGCTAAACCGATTTATATGAAATTTTGCTACAGATATAGTTTGAGTTTCGGGTATTTTTAGGGGGTATAGTTTTTAGGGGGGGTGGAAGTTTGTATGGGGATCGATAACCGCTGAACCGATTTAGATTACATTTATTGCGGAGATAGTTTGATTCTTGAGGAAAGACATAGTCTACTTTTTACTGCGACAACCGACAACACGCGGGCGGAGCCGCGGGCAAAAGCTACCTAAAAAAATTCAAATCCAGAAACAAATCAAATGATCGTGATCATCATAGACTTATTTGTCCTGGGTGGGAATCGCACTCACGACCACCGTTTTAGCAGTCAGGGCCACTAACCACTCGACAAAAGACCCGTCATATCGCTCTATAATTTACATTGGCACTCTCTTTAGGTTATGTTTGAAATTTTTCTGCAGGTATATGGTCGGAGCTGCTGCTGTCGTTCTCCATGAAGGCGAACGTGCTGCAGATCTTCGACCAGTCCGTGGGCCCGGACACGGTGCCAGTAGTGCACGGCCTCAGGACCATGTCTATGGTTTGGGTCATCTTTGGACATACTTGTATCGTAGTTTTCAAAGTAAGTAACAATATGTCGCTCAAAGTACCTAGACTTTCATTTTATTTTTCATTTTCCAAATACCATCATCATCATCATCAACATTCATCACCATCATTCGGTTTGTTAATTCTCACATGTAATAACTGTCACTCACCTGTCCATACCTTGATAATCTCCATACCTTGATAATCTCCATACCTTGATAATCTCCATACCTTGATAATCTCCATACCTTGATAATCTCCATACCTTGATAATCTCCATACCTTGATAATCTCCATACCTAGATAGCTCCTCACTTTCGTTTACTGGCACATTCATCCACCATAATTCATGATGTCCAGCATAGTCACACCGCTCATCCATATTAACACATGAATTTCAGCAAAGTACAGGCATCCCTCATCCTGTCAAAGGTCCAAACAGGATCCTTCAGTTTTATGATATTCATCAACAGCCTTTACTAGTCCACTGCTGGACATAAGCCTCTCCTCAGAAAGGAGGTTTTGGCCTACTATACCACGCTAGCCAGACGGGTTGGTATAGGGTTTGTTTCAAGTTTTCCTTCTCTTTGCAGTGTGGTCGTTCTGCGTAGTTTACTCCATTAGTCGGCTCTTACGACACCCTCGGGATGAATAGGGGATGTGACACTCTGTATTCTTAATCCGTCACCACACGGTGACGGTATATTATATTATTAAAGATAAAATAATTAAGTTGTGATGAATTACAGTACGCAGACAACACCGCACTTCGAGCCGTTTTGGAGAAGAGTTTCTTGTTCCAGCTCATCATCAGCGCTGTATACAGTGTCGATACATTCTTCTGTCTTGGGTAAGCCAGTTGTATACTGTTATTATTAGATTATAATTCATATCATAAGATTAACTATATTTAAAAAAAAATGAGTAGCTTCTGCTTTAAAAAAAGTCAATAACCAATTACATTTGACTTTTAATTGTTAGAACATGTCTTGTGAGACTTTGAGGAGCTCTTTGTGATGAAAATACTTAGTAAATACTTGTTTTCGTAAATATTTTGCACTTCAGAAATAAAAAAGTGTTAATCCGACTAAGTCGACCCGAGCTAAGAGAGATAATGCGGCATACTTTTAGAATGAGCCAATATTTTTCTGAAATTATTGACTTTTATCATTAGTTAAAAATTAACAAAATACTTAGTCATCACCTTTCTAAGAAGAGGCCTATGTCCAGCAGTGGACTATTAAAGGCTGTTGGTGTGATGTGATCCTCACCCTCCGAGCTTTTCACTAAACTAGATTTGTGTCGGCTTTTAGATACTACGACACGGCTAAACTTCGTTTTTTTACAGGGAGCGATCTTCAAAACCAAAGTACTAGGCGATATCGAAATAGATAGATTGTAGTTGGATTTATTAAGACTCCAATTAGAAGAATTCTTAGTAACCTTATAATATAACCAATAGGTTCAGATCGGTGGTTTAGTAATTGGGGTTAGAACCTGAAACCAAATTGACAAACCTGAAACAAATTCGTCGTTCATAGCCGAACAAGGAACTATCAACAAGGCGAGCTTGTGTTGTGTTTGACTCTTCACTTCTATTATAATGATTTATTTAAAATAAATGTTACAATTACAGTGGTATGCTGGTCACGTTCCTGTACTTCCGCACCAAGTCCAAGGGCAAGTTGGATCGGCTGGTGAAAGGTCATAGAAAACTTACAGCAGGAGTGCTGCAATTCCTCGGACTCATCGGATATAGATTCGCCAGGTCTGTCTATCAGTTTAAATAGTTTCGATGTTTCACAGCACCCAGGTCTTGGTCTTAAAAACTAGATCTGATGTCAGTAGGTCTTAATTGAATTTAAATGAGTTATATATAATGTCAGAGAAAAAAAGTTTTGTAATTTTGAATTTATTATTTTATGATGCATAAATTCATTTCAGCATTTCATATTGTAAATAGTCACGACATAATATAAATACATAAATACATATATTTTTTGTAAATACATACATACTATACATAGAAACACCCAGACCAAATCAAACATTAAAAGTTCATGCAAACAAATGTTTGACTTGAGCGGGAATAGAACCAGCACCCTTTAGAATAGCAGTCCGTTACACAAACCACTACGCCATCCGGTCGTCATATGACATATATGTATATATATATAAGACTAATAGGTGAAGACCAAATAAAAGTTTTCACTGCTAGAACAGAAAAAGGCAACTCTGAACATGGTAGGATAATAGAAAAGTAGACATAGGTATTATTATATATGTAATTTGTTTGTTATGTTTGGTCGAAGAAAACGTTGCCTAGTTATTTTTTTTATTTGGTGACACTAGTAGAGAAAATATCGATATCAACACTCCTCTGATCAGGTATGAGTTTTGTCTGTAGTTAGAATCTATAACGGGAACATGCAACAAGTTAAATCGGGACATTTAATGTTATTTTGCTCACCAGTTCTGAGTAGTCGATCGCTACTCTCATGATGCCAAATAAAAACATGTCCGCTATTTTTCTTCTCTCAATTAGTGGAAGAATATGAATTTCTTTACCCCGGCTCATGTAATCAGGTAAATAGCAACTGCAACGATATTGTATTTGTCTTAAAAACCTTTTCTCAATGCGCTCTATTCGATCAATGTAGACTTTATACATCGGATTCCATACTTGAGAACAGTATTCTAGATAACTGCGAACGAGGGTACAATAAAGTATTTTTATTGTTTTAATATTTCTAAAGTCTGCTGAGACTCTGAGTAGGAACAATGTTATAAATGTGTGTGTCAACCAGTAGTTTCGATTCAAAAGTAACTCCAAGGTCTTTAATGTTACTGACTCTAGACAATGAGGTATCTAATAATTTATAAACCTGCTACATTAGACTATGTTTACGTGTAAAGGAGCACACGTAACATCTATTGACATTAAATTCAGATTATTCGTTTTGCAGTACGCCTGAAATCTATTGAGATCTTCCTGTAGTCCTAAAGCGTACTGGACCTTATTTATTTATTTCATTACTTTAAATCATCGGCATACAGAATAATTTTAGAGGATAGGAAGCAGTTACTTTTATCGTTGATGTATATATTAAATAACAAAGGCCCCAACAGCGATCCTTGCGGGACTCCCGAGGGAATATTCGTAAGTGTTCCTCTAGATGTATAAGCATTTAACACAACAGTTTGACATCTGTTTCCCACGTACGATGTAAACCACCGGAACAAGTTATACTCAAAAGTTTACCCATTAAGATTGTGTGATCTATTCTATCGAAGCATTTACTGTAGTCGGTGTATATAACATCGACCTGTGACCCTTGTGACAAAAATTTGGAAATATAATCACAACACAGTATAAGATTAGATGTGGTAGACCGACCCCGTGTCGCCGTGTCGGTGTTGACCAAAACTTAGTTTGGGGGCAGCTCGGGCAGTTTGGCCCGCACTTAAATCTGCACCAATTGTAACGCCAAACGCGCTTGCTATCGAGAGCGAGTTTATCTGAAGACACTTGCAATTCAAGACAAGAGTCGCAAGTTTAGTTGATGCTCCTTGAATCCCCCCCCCCCCCTCCCCCTCAGAATAAGGAAGAGGGGAGGTTCGGGCTCCGATAACCTCACTCATTCGGTGCGAAGCAACGAAAACGCTTAACGCCGGGATTCTGTTAGCTTCTGGCAGGCCGTGGCGACACTCCGGTCAAGCCGACTTTGTGCCGAAACATGGCAAAGTTTTTCTTTCTTGATGAAAGGTGATAATTGAACTATTAACGCAAACAAACTCACACTTCAATTTAATCATCATCATCAAAGCCTTTAATAGTCTACTGCTGGACATAGACTTCTTCTTAGAAAGGAGGTTTTGGCCTACTATAGCACGCTGGCCAGACGGGTTGGTATACGGTTTGTGTCAAGTTTTCCTTCTTTTTGCAGTGCTATTACCCTGCAAAATTTGCTCTTACGACATCCACGGGATGAATAGGGGTAGAGGGGGTTCCGTGTTCTTAATCCGTTACCACACGAATTTTTAATTTAAAATTACCAGTATTAAATTCTAACCAACAAAATATTCCGGTATGTTTCAGATTGACAGCTCCATACTTATTCATCCTCGGCGTGGTGGAGGTGACGATGAAATGGTTCGTATACAACTCTGTCTTCGAGCCGCCAGCGATGGACCATGTCAATTGCCCCAACTACTGGTGGAGGAATTTGTTGTACATCAACACTCTATTCCCTGTGGATCAGATGGTGAGAACCTTGGGTTTAACAAATTCAATTTAGAGCCCCTTCACACTATCGTTGGTCCAGCACGGCAGCGTAGGCGTTCTGTTGTAGACGCCACGACAACGCGACAACGCCCGGCGTTGGACAAACGATAGTGTAAAGGAGCCCTAAAGGTAATTTTATTTATAGTAGTACGTCGTTAGTCCACGGATGGAGCGAGATTTTGAAGTGTCACTTATGATTTCTTCTATGAAATAATGCCTACCTATAAAGATTTTAAGGTGGTGTTGTGAAGATTAGCGACGCAGTAGTGCAGTTTGCTTTTCTTTGTTGCGTCAGTCGCTATTGTCTTCGAATTGTAAACGACAATGTACGACAGCAGTGATTAAATTTGATTAAACTATTTCATTGACTCCGTGTATCGCCTGTCAATTACATTGATAACACAAGTTTGTCTCCCTTTAGTTTTTAACGTAAGTTTAATATTTAAATGAGCAAACTAAAACAAAGTATGTGAGTGATTAATAATTGTAAATGAGGAAATAAAAACTGTCGTGAATGGTATTCATACTTATTAAAGGTATCCGTGTTCGGACCCGACAGCGAAAGGTGCTTTTGTGTCAGTGGCGTGTATCACACTGGCCTGAAACCTCTAAATACGTACGAACGTGAACATTGTATGCCCGTTCAATCTGTTAACCGAACTGTTATCTGTCAAATTTCAGTGTATGCTGTGGAGTTGGTACCTCTCGGACGACACACAATTCTACGCTGTCAGCGCCATACTGCTTATTTTGGCTACCAGGTACGGAAAACTAACAAAGAATACATGCAGAATTTTAAATGGAAAATATCACACAAGTGATTTTAACGAAAAAATATATTTTTAATTTAGTAAAAAATTTAAATAATAATAATAATATTCTACCACATTGACACAACGCCATCTAGTCCCAAACTAAGCAGACCTTGTACTATGGGTACTAGACAACTGATATAAATATATATATACTTTCTTTTTGTAAATACGTACATATTATACATAGAAACACCCAGACCAAATCAAACATTAAATGTTCATGCACACAAATGTTTGACTTGTGCGGGAATCGAACCCGCGACCTTTGGAATAGAAGTCCGTTACGCCATTCGTCTGCACTAAAACATTTTAAATATAATTATTTACACAAAGTTTTTTACATTACAAAGCTTTTGATGAATCACACAAATACTAAGATTATTTTTTTAAGTAAATTCCCCTTTTACCTTCTGTAAAGGTTGCAAATACAAAAACATGCACATCACGCATCTTTACGCATTAAAAATGTGAATTGACAATTATAAATATTTAATAAAAAATGCATGATATAATATGCATCAAACTATAACCTATTTAATTTTAAAATCTTTTACTTACAATTTTTTTCTTTTTATCCACAGTCACTTCAAACTCTCCGCTGGTTTAACCGGCGTGCTTTTCATCTCGTCCCTGGTGACGACAGGCTACGTGTCTTACAGTAGCAACCACATACCGAACCCAGAAGACCCGTTCACACAGTTCGACAAGGTGTACGAGAAGCCATGGACAAGACTGGGTCCATACCTGATGGGCATGCTCACTGGCTGGATACTATTCAAGACTAACCTTAAAATCAGAATGAATAGGGTATGTTCTAAAAAAAATAGTCAAAAAAATAGGAGATGACAGAAAGAAGGTGTATTTTTTAATAAGATTGCCTGACCTGAATAAGAGCAGATTTAGACAGCTTCTTCAATTTCCTTTCTCAAACTACACGCTTATTTCTTGAATACTATACATGTACAAACCAGTAGTTAGTTTTAATTATTTTAATGTAACACTTGCTAAATAAATATCTGCTGTAGATTTGGGCGTGGGTCGGCTGGTCAGTGTGCTCAGCGACTCTCCTGTTCCTGATCTTTGGCCTGTACAAGACAGAGATGGGCGTATGGTCCGCCGCTGTGTACAGCGCCATGTCGCACTCGCTGTGGGCCGCTTGCATCGGCTGGATCATCATCGCCTGCTCTACAGGTTACGGAGGTAAGGGTTTCAATAATAATAATCTGGATCAATATTATGCAGTGCGTTTAGACTACGAATGTTTTAAATAGAAATATCACAAAAAAGAGAGATATTTTTATGTTAGTACTGATGGGAGTTAGTTAGTAGAGGAAGAAGAAGTGGTCATCATCATCTACAGCCCAAACAGTCCACTGCTGGATATAGGCATCTCCTTAGAAAGGAGGTTTTGGCTTACACGATGGCCAGACAGGTTGATATAGGGTTTGTTTCAAGTTTTCCTTCTCTTTGCAGTGCAGTTGTCCTGCGTAGTTTGCTCCCTTAGTCGGCTTTTACGACACCCACGGGACGAATAGGAGTCGTGACATTCCGTATTCTTAATACTGTATAATCTAAATCTATGTAATAGTAAAATCTTTTTCCTTACAAAGGACTGTTCTATTGCCTTATTCTCAGCTCGGGTGTTCTTCTAAATCAGAATAGAGCAAGACAGACTTTCAGTGTCTACTTTTAATCATTTTAATTAAATAATAATTACCCAATAAATTTCCAAAACTTTAATTTTATTGCATATAGTAACACTTACTTTTTATTTGTAGTCCTAACAATATTCTTCTTAAACAGTGACCACCCGTCTAATGATTAGTGATCATCATCATCATCAACAGCCTTTAATAGTCCACTGCTGGACATAAGCCTCTCCTTAGAAAGGAGGTTTTGGCCTACTTTATAGGGTTGGTATAGGGTTTGTGTCAAGTTTTCCTTCTCTCTGCAGTGCTGTTGTTTGTGTAGTTTTTTCCCTTAGTCGGCTCTTACGACACCCACGGGATGAATAGGGGTGGTGACACTCTGTATTCTTAATCCGTCACCACACGGACAATATGATTAGTGATAATGACAGCAGTTGTGTGATTATGGGACTGTTGGACTATATTGTTCATCATAAATCTTAAAGTTATGGACAATTTCTGTGTCAGTATTTTTTCTTACTATTCTTGTAGTGTAATAGTTTTTGTAGTAAGTTTTAACATGTAACTGATGATAAGAAGTACGAGTACATTGTTAATATGACAAGGTTTGCTCCTACAAGTAGACAGGTAGGCAATAGGGAATATGCACGTGACACCAAAATGGACAAAATATTTTTATTTGTAATTTTTATTGCTAAAAAAAATACCCATACAATTATTTTTGAAATTTATTATAATTTAATAGTGAAATTTAATCATCAAAAATTGGCTTTTTTAAGATTCCCTCGCAAATTTCTAAAACGCAACGCTATTGGTTGAATAAAACGTGACGTCAACCTACACTGTAAAGAGTGTCAACAAGTTGTGTGTATTTGTAATATTTGGTTTCTGTTGATTATTTGTTTCATTTTAAGTTAATAACTAATACGTTTTCAGTGTTAAATTATTAAATTCCCGTGTAGAAAGACTCACACAATGACTGAATATACTTTGTCAGCTGCAGTTTTGATATTATTTGGGCACAAAGGAACGGCACAATATTTATAATAAGTTTTTATTGGCTTTCCATGGTAATAAGTTAATTTTTATCACTCACTTTTTAACTTTCAGAAACTTTGTAAACTTCACTCCGTTGTTGACATCGAATTCGTCTGAAAGTGTAATCTGACGTCACAAAAAAAGCGCGCCAAAATGGACGTGTTCAAATTGCCCCAAAATGATAGTGATTTTAATAAATTTTTTTTGCTTAACGGTTTATATTTCGGATGTGTTATATTTATTTTTGGTAATGTAATAACTAGTAGAATCGTTAAAAAAATTAAAAAAATGCATGCATATTTCCTATTGGCTGCCTGCAAAAGTCCATGATTCATTCTATCACTGTGTATTTATCTTTAAGATGCTTGTAAAAAATAAAAAACTTTGTGACTTTATCTACTCGAATTATTGTCCCTTTCTAGGATGACCCCATTGGTGTAAGTTACTCAATGTTTTCCTTTGCAGGGTGGGTGACCCCGCTGCTGTCATCGCCAGTGCTGTACCCGTTCTCTCGAGTGACGTACTGCGCATATCTAGTTCACCCCGTGGTGCTTCGCTATGTCGCCATGCACTTCACACACCCCATACACATGGGAGAACTGCTGGTGGTAAGTAGTCTGATATTGTCAATATACTGACATTTACCTTAAAACATACCATTTTATTTTTGGTTGTCGCACGGAATAATTATTTGTATTACGATCGAAAGAAATAGAACAATCAGGCGTTTATTAATTAGGGGTCAAAAAAATAATCACTTAAACTAAGAATTTTAAATTTATCTTCTTGTAATCTGTCTCTTATACTTTATGTACCTGGTACAAAATCGCTCCTAGAAGCCTGTGAAATTCCCAGAAGGCTTTTGCGCTTCTGGGAGGAGCTTGATTGGCTCACCTAGTCAACCTCTCCTAGACTCATAAAGGACCACTCCCTCAGTCTAAATGCGGAAAACAGAGCCAACAACCAACACCAATATATACGTACTTTGTTTGTGTGTTTTTTACATTTGACTTAATGAAAATATGAATTGTTTTTCACGAAATACCAGTAAATTGCAATAATCGAACAATGTACCAACATCCTTATAAAAATAACCAAACAATTTCTGTCAACAGTTCATCCTGTTCCTGGGCCTCACAATAATATCGTACGCGTTGGCGTTCGTCATATCCGTAGCCTACGAAGCGCCCATCGTCACAATGCTCAAGATAGCCTCACCGCAACGAAAACCCCACAGAATATGAACCAGCGCTATTGCACTAAAATGTTCAAAAGACTGCCTTAATTCAGAACTGAGCCATTTAGGATGGGTGTAGAGGGCGTCACTGAGCGACCCCATAACTTTATTGTAATCAGCTTTACTTAGACAACGTGTTTGTATTATGTATATTTATATTATAGTATAAATGATAAAACAAACCCGTTCAGGCAAGGCAAGGTGTATAGAATGTCCTTACAAAAACATTCGAGCGTTGAGACCGGGGAATCAAGTTCTGATGTCAAAGAAACTATAAAAGAATATCAGTAAATAATATTAAAAGAATTCCCGCAAGCTCTGAGATCGATTGGGCTCGCAATTCTCCAGCCTGATCATGACGTGTTTGGTCTGGCAAGTGCAAATAAAATTACGATTAAGCTTGAGAATTGCAAGCATTATTAGGTAAACCTAATAACTGCAAGCTTAATCATGACGCGTGATTAGGCTTATTTAAAATTAAGCCTAATCACGCGTCATGATTAAGCTTGAAAATAAAAATAAATCTTGATGCCAGAGCAAACTAAATAATAAGCCGTTGAATTAAGAGTAAAAAGCGATTAAATGACAATTTTGTAAATTAATGGTGGCCTAAATATATTACATTCGCTGTCTGAATAATGTAAATGTGTTAAAACAATATCTCCCGAGACAGACTATGAATTAATAAATAATAATCTTACCATACTTTATTTTTTAATATTGAAAAAGCCTCTAAGAAGAGGCTATATTGTGATTAAATGTACATTTGATTTTGTGTGGTGAAATATTTGAACGGTTGAGAAATTCTTCAAGTAAAATAGATGATACTCTCTCAAAGCACATGATGTAAAATATTAATAAATAGTTTTTAGTTATAATATAGATTAATTTGACAAGAGTACCTAAAACTATACATAGTTTAAAATTCCATAGTTGATACTTAAGTATAAAATAATTTTTATTCGCCATTATGTCGCCGCTCATAATCACCGCACCGCTTAAGCGTAGTATAGTGACAAATCGAGATATCTAACACTGTGTCCGCTTTCTACCCACTCCAAATACGCTCTCTCTCAGAATTAACGATTGACCCAGACTGTTAACTTAGTTATCTGTGTTAAAAAATATACCATGCTGTCTAGCAATTCATATTTTTATTGTGGCATGTATTGTTGAACATGGCACTTGCGCGTCTTTCTTTAATTATCAAGATAGTTGTTTTAAAAAAAAACAGACATATTTTATATCATAAGAAACGACGAAAGAGACTTCCTCCCTTTATTCTTTAAGGGATTTAGTCAGGGCCGGATTAGCCATGTCAAGGCTTCGGGCAATGCAATCCTCGGGCCCTTTTTTTGAAGAATCAGCTCGTTGTAAGTCGATGAAGGGTTGTAAGAAGTAGCATCAGCAGCATCACATGACTGATGTGTAACTACTCAGCAACTAACAGTAAAAGTGGGGCCCCTGACCTGGAACCAGTTGCCTACTCTGCCTTATTGTTTGTCCGGCCCTGGATTCAGAAACCCTATTTAGGTATTTCGTGCACAAAAACTGTCTGTGCATCCAGTTTGTTCATCCGTATTTTTCTAGAGTCCATAGTAGGTACAAGATAATCTACCTATGAGTTCAGATCGTCAAAGACAATACACTTTATTAAATACATACTTACGATAATATAATAATATAAGACACAAGGTGCGTGGGCGAATAGTAAAACACCATTTATTTTATAATTAATTCATTTACCAACGAATTATATAGGTATAGATAAGTTTCATCATAACAGCACTTGCTATTATTACTTAAAAATGAAACAAATGTATAATCAAACAATTTCATTGCTATTTTATCAAAAATTTCGAATCCACACAACTGTTTATGGCTCCAGTAATCGCTTTAGTCTATCAACGTCGTGCGCGACCGTCCGCGGGGTGACAGACGGTGGCGGGGACGAGGTACTCAAGATGTCAGCGGGTAGCGGGTGGTGTAGCGGGGAAGGGAAACACTTCTCTTCGCGTGTAGCCGTGTGCTAGAATGACGCGCTACCTCGCCCCCGCCACTATCTGTCACCCCGCGGGACGGTCGCGCACGAGATTGCCGGGTTATAGTAATATCGCTATAGACTTGTAATATCTGTGTAAATAAATGCAAGACTTAGATTTTAAGATATTCAGTGCAAACAAAACGTTATGTCTGGGGTGCGAGCCATAAATTACTTCACACGTTAAGGAGGAAGGCGGGGGGGGGGGGGTCGGCGAAGTGTGACATTGTGTGAAAAGCGGTGGGACAGGTCTTAAATTTTGTGACGTTACACTTCAAAAAATGTCCACTAGGGGAGGGGCTCACAAATGTGAGCAGCTGTGACAAGGACGGGGGTGGGGGTAAAAAAACCATGAAATTCGTGTGACGTAATTTATGGATGGGCCCTTGTCTTGATTTTACAAAACTGTTTGTTTGATCAATAATCTCTGTCTTTGCTTTAGCTTTCAATCCTTACAGTTCTTAGACTGTAAAATTAAATAATTTAATTAAATAGTGATTATGGAACACGATTTAATAATAATCTTAAAATAACACAATTATAAATTACAAAAGTAATAACAACCAGAATAGAGACCCCTGCATTAAAACATCCCATAAACTGAAATTTATGACATCCAAACATTATTTATTAAAAAAAAATTGTTACGCTATTTACTCCATCCATACTATTTAACATTCAACTGTTCTCCTAACGTGGTGGGCTGAGGGACTAGTCTCAGGGCCATACAGAAGTCCTGTGTCAAGAAGCGAAGTGACCGTCGCATCCCTATCAGGCCCTACATTAAACTACACTTCCAAATACACGCGTGAGTTGTTTATAGTCGGCCTTAAATGATTTATTACTTGAGTTTTGTATAATGGAGTTTGGTATAAACAAACGTGTTTCAAATAATATCAAAACAAAATGTATGTACAATTATTTGTAAAATTAAATATGTAAATATATTGTAAATATAAAGTAGTTGTAAGTTTTTTTACCAATTATAAATATTATGATACTTGTAATACAAAACAATTAAAAATATCAGTTGTTTTTTTGTCACGCTGTGACGTTCAAGATTGTCACGCGGGAATGTTGAAATTTGTCACGCGGTGGTGTTGAAATATGTCACGCAGCACAATTGGAAATTCTTCTCAGTAGACTGCAAAATGGTATCTCTACTAATAGAGACAGTAGCAGAGATGCTAGTAGTGTTATTATTGCCGTTCCAGCGAAGTAGAGCCACTGCAACAATGACTAGATGTAAAGGATCATCCACAACATACGTTACACAAGGTAACTTGCTAATGCATATATCTTGGGGTTTCATTACTCTATTACATTAATTGACACAACAACCAAAAATATTTTTCCTTAAAGATTCAGACATTAAACAAATTAATCATTGAAATTCATACGAGAATCAGTTTCGCTAAACATTATTAATATAACCCAATAAACACAACTATTGTAGGTACTTGAATTTTTCGTTAAAAGTGTTCTTGATTTCGTGTTACACGAAGACTAATCACGATAAAATAAATGTTTCGGAACTCCACATAACTATGAGACACGACTGATCATCAACAGCTTTTAATAGTCCACTGCTGGACATAGGCATCTCCTTAGAAAGGAGGGTTTGGCCTACTATACCACGCTGGCCAGACGGGTTGGTATAGGGTTTGTGTCAAGTTTTCCTTCTTTTTGATGTGTTGGTGTCCTGCGTTGTTTTGCGCCCTTAGTCGGCTCTTACGACACCCACGGGATGAATAGAGGTAGTGACATTCCGTATTCTTAATCCGTCACCACACGGACACGACTGATAGATACCTAAAGTATCTTTTAAACAAGTCATCATCTTCCTGTCCTCCACGTTTACAAACCAACCAACCACGTTTATCTTGCAAATCCTTTTTTGTAAAATTGCCTAACAGCGGTTTTCTGTATCACTTTGGTTGGGCCAGCCAAATACGCCGAACCATGACTTTCTCATGCCTAGACTGTTTTTTTTTTTAATAAATATTATTTTGTTCCTTTTATTTTTATGTACTTTAACTGTTTTACTTTAAAATGAAGGTAAATACCTATATTAGGAAGTCTGAATCGCAAAAGACTGTTGAAACTTTTTACTCAATTGAACAAGTTCATTCAATTTCTGCAACGTCCTCTTCATAAGATTAAAGGTAACCCTCGTCAGCTTAAAAAATAATTATTTGTATAGACCTGACTCACCAGCCAAATTAGTAGTTCCCATTAAAACAGGCCACAGTAAAGCAATAGGCCACGACAAGTGGAGCCAGGCGGCCAGCCACGGCAGGCCAATCATAGACACAGCTATTGATGCGAATATAAATGATAATGATGATATCCATAGAAGTGACGAAGTAATCTGAAAATGGAAAAACATTACATTAACTTTTTCTAAAACAAAAAAGGTAACACCATTTTCATCGATTAGGTATGTAAAACAAATAGGGTTAGATTGAAATCGGTACGATTTCTGGTAAGCCTTTGATATTGTTTCCTATCGCAAGCTTAGACCAAGACTTTAAAAATGTACAAATGTCAAATGTGATATTACTCGTACTTACATATATAACTGCCCTCCCTATTGAATTTATTATTATTGCAATACGTCGTAATTTCTTATTTTAAAATACCCGTGATATTTGTCATTGAAACACTTCGAATCTCCTTTAGGAGTACTTCAAGGTGATTGCTTAGGTCCATCATAGAAAAATACCTTACCTTGGAAACCTTTAGCTTGCCTTGCAGGATGTGCACCAACCAGCCAGTAAATACTCCAAAACTGTATGGTGACACTCGTGCCCAAGGCCGTTCAATTATTGTCGTATACAGGTCAAAACCACTAGAAAAGCTGAAATAATAATTTAAAATGTTGTTATAGTATGAAAAAGTATCTTAAACGAGTGTAAAATAAAATAAAACAATATTATCTCAAATGCTCATGCCAACGTACCCCTAAAAGATCACATAGAATAGTTCTACTATACTTATATTTCGAAAAGTTTCATAATCTACGTCATATGAAGTGCATTCAACTGTAAAACAAGACCACCTAAGTGAAGAATTAACGATTTCTCCTATTGAATGCCATTAGATAAAGCTATTTTACTTAAGCAGATGATTTATAATACGATTATAACATTACTTTTGTTTGACATACTGATCTCTATAGAAGTATAACTAAGTTTTAAACTCTTGGAATTTATTTTCACATCCCTGTAAGGCAGTCAAAACTACTTCTGCGGTGTTGTACACTAAATGTAAAACATGATATTGAAACAAAAACCAAACAATTGCTAGTAAACATGAAAGCATTCTTAAGAGACCAGGCGAACGTAATAACTTTTATCTAAATATAATAACTTTTTTAAATATATAAAGACATCTACCGCATCGCCACCGCAATAAGTATATCCTGTGTCGCGGGGGAATTTACAAACATACATGAAACGGACATAAAGAAAACCCAGACTCAGAACAACAATTTGTGGATCACACAAAGTGTAGTCCCATGTGGGGATCGGACACACAGCACTTAGCGTAGTAGTAAGCGGCGTGGTGACCGCTTAAACCACTACGCCAACCGTGCAGATATAAGGATCAAAGATTTATAATATTTATTGATTTATAATAAGGATCAAAAGATTTACTCACAGTTTTCCAAATTCATAATAAGCAGCGTTTGCATCAGACACAGTAGTCGAGAGCGCAGCGATAAGTGCGATCGTAACGCATATGCGCGCGCGCATTTTTGACGACACGCTGGCCGCACACAGGAGAGCTCCTAACATATGCACTTGTGTCTCCGTAGACAGATACCACGAGATTTGCATACACTAAACAATGAAATAGGACAATTAATACAAACTTCTATACAGAATTATTTGTGGTGGTTAAAATTAAAATTGCTATTAATTATATCACATCAACAGCCTTTAATAGTCCACTGCTGGACAAAGGCCTCTCCTTAGAAAGGAGGTTTTGGCCTACTATACCACGATGGCCAGACGGGTTGGTATAGGGTTTGTGTCAAGTTTTCCTTCTTTTTGCAGTGCTGGTGTCCTGCGTTGTTTTGCGCCCTTAGTCGTCTCTTACGACACCCACGGGATGAATTGTTATTAATTATATACATGTATTATATTATTTATTGTGTGATGTGATGTGGTATACATAAGTCAGTTTCAGAAGGTTACAATTTTTTTTAATATATATCACACATCTCACACACGGCCGTCTGATCCCAAACTAGGCAGAGCCTGTACTATGGTAACCATACTGCTGATAAACATACTTATATATTTTTAAATACATACATATTATAGATAAATTACACCCAGACAGAACAAATGACCGTGCTCATCACACAATATGTGTCCTGGGTGGGAATCGAACCCACGATCTCCGGTTTAGCAGTCAGGGTTACTAACCACTAGACCATCAGGCCCGTCAACTAGACTGACAATTAGACTGGTATTAAATGTTTCGTTATTAAAAGCAATTGCAATTAAACACCATAAAAGGTGCGTTCATAAGGGAAATAAGAATCCTAGAAATGACGGTTGGGCGTCATAAAAGAACATTTTGACGTTTGCCGTCACGGCATATGACGTTTCTCTCTTACCTGTTCTTTTACTGGGAAAAAATTGGACACGTAGAGTATATTACGCCACCAGTAATCATTGCAGTTGCTGTGATCCTTGTCCGGTAGCGCCAAGGTGGAGACGGATCTGGACCACCGAGCCACTATGGACGACAGAAGAACTGCGTATGCGTATGACGGAACTAGTCTGAAAATAAACATCCAATATACTGTCAAACCTTAACGACTTTTGATAAAGATCGTTAAATTTCAATAAAAATTTTGGTACAAAAATAAACCTACATTTAGGTTTGGAACTAAACTTGCCAAAAATCCAATCACACATCATATGACTGATATTTAGGGTACGATTAGTTTTAAGCTTTGCACAACATTGCACGATAGCATAGTATCAAAAAAGGGTGTATTCTCCGCCAAGGTAAGGTTATAGGCCTAGCCGGCCCTGACCCATGGGATGGGATGTTGTATGTTAATCGTTGCAAGATTTTTCATTGCGCGATGCAAGATTTGAAGTTAGTTCGTAATTAGATGAGTCTTCGCTAGATGTCACTATCATGTTTTGTTGTGTGTGGAAGACGCCACACCTTGATATATTACTATAATCGCAGAAAGTGGGAGAGCCATGCTTCAGCAGAAATGAGCAGGCTCAAATGTAGTGATCGATGGGCCGACCTAAGCAATTCTATCGTTACTTTTCATCATGTTAGTAAAGTAATGGAGCCTAAATCTCATCTCTCCCTAATTCTAAGGGCGAAATGAACTCAAGGGCGGCAACTCACTTGTGACTAAGTATTTTTATAAGCAGTATCTGTTGACAAAATAGAGCAAAACAGGACATATTTTCCAGCGAGAGCCATGCCGCGCATATGGGTCAGGATCGACCGGAGTGATACCACGGCCTCACAGCAAGCCGGTGTTAATCAGTTCTTGAATAGGTTTTCAGCAAATGAGTGAGGTCACCAGAGCTTAAGCCCTTCCTCTCTCCTGATTCTGGAGGCGGGACTGAAAGGGCTCACTTGTGACTATTTAGTTGCAGGAGTCCATGGGCTCACCACGACTCAGTCGAATAGTTGTAGGAACTATAACAGGACACTTAGCCCTGAACCGACAACTATTCACCATTAAAGCGATGGTCAGTCCTCTTTGCAGAGGATATCTGAAAGCAGAAGACCCGGACGCCCACGTAATCCTGGAATGCGAAGGAGTGGCCACACAACGGGCCAAAATCGCTTCTAGAAGCCTGTGACCGCCTCAGACGCATAAAAGACCACTCTTGAGTCTAAATGCGGAAACAGGAGCCCACATCCAATAAGATTACCAAGGAGTCCATGGGCGCCGGTAATCACTTACCATCAGCTGATACGTCAAAGTGCCCGTGTTTGTCTGTAGGTACCATAAAAAAGGCTATCGCGTCGATACATACATAGTCTTTTACCAATAGCATCTTTAAAAGGTGTTTTATGTCAAAAGACTAAGGTGTCAGGCCGTTACATTCATCATCATCATCATCATCAACAGCCTATTACATTCCACTGCTGGACATAGGCCTCTCCTTAGAAAGGAGGTTTTGGCCTACTATAATACGCTCGCCAGACGGGTTGATATAGAGTTTGTTTCAAGTTATCCTTCTCTTTGCAGTGCTGTTGTCCTGCGTAGTGTGCTCCCTTAGTCGGCTCTTACGACACCCACGGAATAAATAGGGGTGGTGACATTCCGTATTCTTAATCCGTCACCACACGGACTAACACGCCGTTACATTGCAAAATCATTAAAGCACCTGTTTGATGTTTCAAAACCTAATTAACTATCAAATCAACAAGCCCCGTCATTTTATCGATCACAAGATGGCGCGTTAGCTATCAATTAAGTTCTGAACCTGTTTGTCTCGGCCTTAACGAGGTGTAAACTATCATATTAATGACAGTAGTAACTATTTGGACTGAAAGTATTAAAAATTGTATACTTTCACAAGTTTACTAAAGATATCTCTCTCATATATATTCTGGTCTGGTATCTGGTATATGGTCTCATATATATTGAATGGGTTTGGTGTACTTCATTGCAAGTCAATTCCATTCCTTTTTCATCAAAACCTATGGACCTACGTATGTCTGTAAAAATTGTATTAAATAATGGCTAATGACGTCATATCTCACTATCGCCAAATCATAAACTACGAAAAAATAAAAATTAACTTTAAAACAGTAATGAATGTTTTTTGCTGTTTTCTAAGGTCTTTGGTAAATTTCTATTAACTGTAAAAAAATAGTTATATATTTTGTGCCTAAAAAGCCTTATTAAGAAGTCAAATTGCCTGTGAAAAAATTCGTTAATGATGTATAAAGATCCAATCAGTCATGTAATCAAACAGTAGTGGTTAAGCACTTTTTCTATTTGACATTTACTTGAATGATTACAGTTATTAAAACATTCTACAAGCTTCAAAAAAGTTAGGTACTTTTTCAACGGTGAATAATAAATAATCTAGTTTACTGCTGAATTCCATTCGCATTCTGAACAATAAGGTTCTAACTTTCGTACAAAACGATAATTGTTTTGTTTTGTTTGTTTTTCAAAAATTAAGATCATTCTTAAGAGACCAGGCGAACGTAATAACTTTTATTTAAATATATAAAGTCATCTACCGCATCGCCACCGCACTAAGTATATCCTGTGTCGCGGGGGAATTTACAAACATACATGAAACGGACACAAAGAACACCCAGACTCAGAACAACAATTTGTGGAGCACACAAAGTGTCGTCCCATGTGGGGTTTGAACCCACATTACTCGGCGCAGTAGGAAGCGGTGTGGCGACCGCTTAAACCACTACGCCATCCGTGCAGTCACCTTGGAACCTAACTGGTTAGAGGACAGGTTTAAACGATGCGTTCTTATTTTCTCAACGCGAATAAACTATAGTTTCTACGGATTCAATACATTTATTTTACTACCGTTTAAAAGTTCTTGCTACTACTGGGATAGCTTAAACCCCAAACAGAATCTGGAGACTTCCTGGTCTCAATTAGCAATGGCAGTTTTCTGGACAAGGACACGAGACGCAGCGATTGTCAAACTCTGTTGTGCAGGAAGCAAACGAAGAAACGGGCACCTTATGGTAAGTAACTACTGCCAAAGAAGAACATCTGTTACTCAAGAGTTACAAATGCATTACCAGCCTTAACTACCCCCGACTTGTCAACAATTTCTAATGAGCACACAGCATGACACAACCCAGGGTCAGGACTCCCATGATCCCCAGCTCTGGATACGTCCTTGTAGCTACCGTAATCCAGCAATGTTGTGATATATTAATGAAAAAAATGTATCTTACAAGTAATCTCTGACGCCTTCATTCCATACCTGATGACTCTGTTGGTGACGAAGCAGATGAATTGTAGTAACTGTCCGCAAGCGCCATCCCACCCCACCAGCTCCTCCACGCTGTACTGACTCTTCAGGTGGAAGAAGTGATGGGAGCTAAATAAACCACTGAAGAATACAAACTGTTATTAGATTCTTAACAAAAACTTTAACAATAAGTAGTTTAAATAATATTTGAGACAACCCGTCTGATCTAAGTAGAGACTACCTAATTGTAACCATTTTTATAAATTGCCAAAAACACATTTATTATTGGTAAATATCACCCAGACACACGACAAATTCATTTCATTAACAATTACAGGTTTAATTTTCACCCAGGAAAACCTAGTTGGAAATCAAACCTAAGACTTCTCGATCAGCTGTCAATACCAAATAAAAATAAATAAATTAATATTTCGGACATCGGACACACAACGCCATCTAGTTTCAAACTAAACAAAGCTTGTAATACGAAAGCTAGATTGACTGATAGAATACTTATTTACGTTTTTATGTAAATACATATATATTATACATAGAAAACACCCAAACTCCGAAACAAATATTTGCAGGTCATACAAACATTTGGTCCCCGGGAATCGAACCCGAGACCTCAGCACAGCAGTCGCATACGATTCCACTGCACCACCGAGGCAGTCAAGAAACCAGTCAAGTAAGCGTATTATTTACGCCCAATGGGTTCCACACATAATCATATTGATATTTAAAATTATACATTATAAGTAAAGATCTACTAAACAACTACTACAACTACTACAACTACTAGGCACCGTTTTTCATGACTATGCCATATTACAATATAGCAAAACATAGAAAAGCCAAAAATAAGACGATACATGTCGAAAGAGACCATCCATAAGATGTAGGTTAGATCGAAAAAACCTAAATAAATGACTTCAATTGAAATTGATGAATTGTTTTTTAATAAAATCACAGTTAACATTCTAAGGAACAAGCAAAACAGAAAATAATAATCCTTAGTCTTACAACCCACTTCTTTCTATTATTTATTACCGGCATAACAGTCTCTTCCGTTTCGCTAACTTACTTCTAATTCTTTAAAAAATATATATATTTATAAATAATAAGATTTTGACCCCCTTTGCCACATAACTACATGTTACACTTGGATGACCCCTTCCACTCCAGCGCATATCGTAATATACATACACATATACTCTTACGTATTTATCTTCTAAGAGGCAGGTAGATTCGTATTAAAACGCTAATCGTATAGTATTTACGAGACCCTACAACACAAGTGTATAATCAAAAAGTAACAAAAGTACAAAACTGCCTAAATAAAAGAATTGTAAGCAATTTATCTCAATTATCAAATTAGCTCTGCATCATGGTTAACAATGTTTAAATGGTGAAAGTACATAAAAACGTACATTCTTTGTATAAATTAGAGGGCTCTTTATTACAGACATATTCCATACCACATTTATACTTCTATAGACATTTATTACAAGTATTCTCATAAAAACGCCATACTTAAATTTGTGAAAAAGTTTTGTGAAATTAAAGGTGGCGATAGGAATATAAGAACATAACTGTATAGAGTGTAACTAATAAATTATTTTATTTAATTTTAACCTATTATTTATTTTAAAATACTAGCTCCGCCCACCGCGGTGCACTGATCGCTTGTACATATTTATTGTTTTTGGACCTTATTTTTTTTAATAAATGTAGCCTACGTAACCAACCCGTCTGGCCAGCGTGGTATAGTAAGCGAAAACCTCCATTCTAAGGAGAGGCCTATGTCCATCAGTGGACTATTAAAGGCTGTTGATGGTGATGAGCCTACGTAACTTATAATGCAAGCTATCTACCAACAAAAGTCCCGTGGAAATCAATCTATCCGTTCAGAAGGTTCACTTACACAACCAGACAGCCTGGCACACTTTTTTTTTTGTACAAGAACCGTGTAAGCGTTGAGATGGATTTGCTATTAAGTCGTTATCATGACTTTATGTTCAGATATCACCATTTTATTTATTTGTATAGATTACTGAATAGGGTGATCTATTTAGAAATTAAAATAAATATTTAACGTTAACAGTTTGCAAATTCGACAATTACCTTTTTTTCTTCTTTTTTTTGTTGCTTTTTGGATAAAGAATAAATTTCTTTCTCTTTCTTTATTATACCTAAAACCAGCCTAATAAGTGAAATCCAAAAGTAATATTTAATCCAGATTATTAGTATTATTTAATCCAAAAGTAATATAGAAGTTGAAATTCAAAGATAACTGTCAAATAAATTGTTTGTTTTTAACTTACCTGACGAAAAATAACGTATCGAATGCTATGGTTCCGGTAGCAACGATATAATAAATATTATTGAAGTCATTTACGTCTGCAGCGTTACCTGAAAACGAAATAATAATTGGTGCTTCATAAAATGCAAGAATTTATGTTAAAACTTTGTAAGTTATGCGTCTATTCATACACTCATACATTTCTTGCAAAAAAACTCTGTCTTTATTTAGACATACGCGGTAAAACGTTTAGCATCGATTTTCAAATTCTGGTAAATTCTCGGATTTCATAAAAAAAATGTATCAATTTTATGAGAAATAACTCAACCACGTAGTAAGCTGACCTAGGCCAGTGTACAGGAATCAGCCTGTAACTACATCCAGTACCACATGGTACTGGATGTAGTTACATCAAATGGCCTGACGATTCGACAAAATTTTCGAAAAAAATAATGTATGACTTTGAAATGTCAGGCCATTTCAAAGTTATACAATATTTTTTTTAAAGACAACGCCCGCATTAGGAATATATTCTGTGTCGCGGGGGACTATTACAAACATACATGAAACGGACACAAAGAACACTCAGACTCAGAACAACAATTGTGGATCACACAAAGTGTCGTCCCATGTGAGGATCGGACCCACAACACTCAGCGTACTAGTAAGCGGCGAGGTAACCGCTTACACCACTACCGCCATCCGTGCAGTCAAATTATACCCATTACGTGATCGCCTTAATTCCCATACGAACGCGAAAGTTTGAAAAAAAAACACATTAAACATTGTTGTCTCAGCAACTTAATTTGAATATACACATGAATAATTAGAAATTACCTGAAATATAGTCGACTACAACAGCAACATGTATAAACATGATCCAAAAAGTGGCCAAAATTCTCATACCGTGTATCAAGGACAAATCTTTAGTAGCGGTATTTGTATTAAACACTCTTTTCCAACAGTAAGGAATTGAGAAGCACAAAAGGAGACGGCAGAAGATGTTTCTTTTTTCGGTCTCTGTACTAAGACTCGCTATGGAGTTGTACTGGAGTCGGGGACAGGGTGGCAGATTGTTCTGCTGATGCACGTTGGTGCACTGCTTTCGATACTTCCCGCAACGTCGACAACTAAAAGCTGACCGATCCAAGCTTGTTACGTCTACCGTAATCGCTGGAGCTCCTTTAATCATGCTTTCCACCGCCATATAATTCATATCTGTATTGTCTATTCTCAATTTATTTACCTCGTTCTTTAAATCTATATTCTCATGCTTTATATCTCTGTCTAGATTCTTTTTAGTATCAGTGTGGTATTTTTCCAAGTCAAATGTCATGGAACGTTTACCGTAAGGAAAGCATTTAATCCAATCTAAATCAACAACAGTGGCTACTAAAGCTAAAGTGGCCAGTATAACGGTGATACATATTAGAAATATGGCCCCATCATCTCTTCCTATGTCATAATCTCCTGGTACATGTCTCACGCTGGTGATTTTTGCTACACGAGAAGTGGTTTTATTTGTTCTGATGTTGTCGTTAACCATTATGGAGAAGTTGATGACGGATGCGATATCCCGGGCCGAGCACGATCGTGGGAAACATATTCCCACTAGTATGTTGTAAGACTGAAATGTTAAGGTCATATATTGTTACATTAATGTTGAAGAAAAATCCACTTAACTCTTTTTTTGGTCATTGTACCAAAAAGTAGCAAACATAGACTTAATAACCAGCACTCTAGTAAATTAGTTTTCATTCAATGATCGTGAAAATTATTTGATGAGATTTATTTCACTTTAACCCTTATTTTCATTCACCACTTCACCGTTCCACTACCCTCCCTAGTACAGATTATTATTTTTTACGTGAAACGCAATTTTTTTTTCAAAATAAAAGTAGCAAAAATCAGGACTTATAATATTGGCGATCTGTTAGGGTAAACTTCGTTGGTCTACCCACAACAGAACAAACATTTAAAAAATCTGAATAACATTTCTGATGCATTTACTTGCGAATAGTTCAATTTCATGTATGTGTTAGATTACCATAAATAAGTGTCTTACCTTGACCATATTGGTTTTTGTAATATTCAAAAAGACCTGAACAGTGGAATAGGAAAGCCGATATGGTGGCCACAGGTCTGCTACCACAGCTCCTTGGGCGGTCGTCTCTTCATGAAACACCCATTTCCATTCATGTGCATCTGTACATTAAATGAATAAATCATGTACAAGATTTCTTGATGTGAATTTTTTAAGGGAATAAAAAATCTTGAAAAAATCCCTGACAATATTAGCTACTACAGATTAGACTACTACTTGCAGACTCACCTTTTCTTAAAACTACATCGAATAGAAAACATAGGGTAGAAAGGATGGTGTAGCCAGAAACTTATGCTCACGTCCTATCTGGACATTTTTTTTATGGAAGAGGGGGCAAACCAGCCGACGGGTCACCTAAAGGAAAAGGACTACCGGTAGTCGTAGTAGTAGTACTGATATAGGGGGCATAAAAGCAGTGAGACCTGGTGAACATTGAACGTTTGCAACTCAGTAGTCACAAGCTCGTTGCCGGCCTTTGAGGAAGGAGTACCCTTTTTCTTTGAAGGTTTGAGGGTCCAAGTGCAAAGTCTTTAGGATTTATAATAAATAAACTTGTTAAATAAGGATTACAGTAGCAGCAGTGGATGAAAAGTAGAAGAGTAACTGACTATCCTGGTAGGGACATATAATGTGCAGAAATGTAACAAAGATAGTTTAAAATATTTTAAACTCAAACTAAGAAGAGATGAATGGACTGCGTAAAAGAAGAAATGGCTGGAAAGGAAGCAAGTAATGAACCGAAGAATGATAGAGATGAATAGAAGAAGGAAACTCTTTGCACTGAACTAAATAAATTTAGGAAAGGGACAAGAAATTATGATGAATTACTAAGTTAATTCGAGCTATGGACGGCTTCTAATTCGTTACGGATGACGAATTAATGCAATAAAGGAATGACATTTTACACATTGATTAGATGAAATATTTGACAACCATTTCCGTATCGTATACAAAGTGTCAAACTCCAGGGGAATATTTAGGTAAGCTTAATTACGCAGACACAAAAAACATCTCAGCAATTTTAAAATGATATAATTTAAACCATATTTAGGTCATTAAACAATAAGTAATATATATTTGTGTATACAAACCGGACTGAAGTAATTTACATTATCAATATATTAGAACTTTAACATATGAACGTCCTGTAACTAACATAGTCAAGCGACTGCCTGAAATACAGGTCTAACACCTAGCTCAGGCCGTTTGCAAATCCCCTCGGATACCAACTATCGGTGGCATATAGGACTCGAACCGACTAAAACCTCACGCCGTCTCGGGTACTAATAGCCGGGGAACCAGGTATACCCTAGAAAGGAAGTCCCTGGTGCCCCGACTCTAAGGAGGGCCCATGTCTAGCAGCCAACTGTTATAGGCTGTTGATGTGATGATGTAATTTTGTGACTATATGTGGTATTTATTGATGTTTTCAGTAGAATCTTTTTACTTCATGTTACTAACATGTATAGTTACAAAATAATGGCTTTACAATACGGTAATGTTTACAATTTTAAACTTGTTTTCGGTACGTCTTATACTTTGTAACAATAAACAAATGTAAAGGAGTTACATACCATTAAAAAGCTTTGTATTTCCATCAGTAGATGAATTATTTTCAGCCGCCTCTTTGTCCTGAAACAAAACTTTCAGTTATGGCACTAAAATCATAAAATATTATATTAATTTATCATATTTAATAAAAATATATACCAAACGCAAACATTGTTCTTTAGAGCCCAACCAGAATCGATTGCCGGAGAACAGTGCGGCTTCGTAACGCCCCGATGCATCGAGAACTAAAACAAAATAAAATAAATAAATTACATATAACTGTTAATATTAATAATAAATGTTTTATAAATTGGCAAAACAACTAACTGCATGCCGTGTAATGCCATGCAGTTAGTCGTTTTCGCCTGTTGATCCAGTGGTTGGTGAAACTGACTGCTAAGAGAGGTCGTGTGTTCGATTCACACCCAGGACAAATACTGCGTGACGATAATTATACCGAGATACAGAAGCCATAATAGTGACATAATTATCCCATCCCTAGCCCTCTAGCTTAGCAGTCAAGGTCCAGTTGACCAACAGGTCAATCTTAGTTACTTAAATTAATACACTTCAAATGTATTGTAAGTAAAGAACGACCATCTAAATATCTGTTATTGGCTGATAATTGTCATCCACTAAACTATACACGAATTACACAAGAATACATAATTTCAAATCGTAATTGTTTCAGTAGAGGCACACAACTCTCACTCGAGTCATGCTCGATGATCTCACGTAATCTAACCGTTGGCGCCGTACTGTACTGTAAACTGTGTGTGTGTGTAACTGTACTCGTGTGAGTGTTCGATGGTAGCGCCCCCGGGAGTAACGGCACCGATATCGCGTGAATACTCTTCTTTTAATAATAATTAGGATTTCTACTTAATGTAGTCGTTTACAAGAGCAACCACCTGTAATAAATCTTACTATCACACCTGTGACCACTTTAAAAACTGACGGATACTTTTCATTATTCTGGCGTCAGACTCGCAAAAGGTCTAAATAAATAAAAAAAGATTGTAGTCTTTGATAAAAATAATTTTGATGGCATTTATTCACACTAGTGATTTATCACAAGTGAAATAGTATTGAATGAAATTAATCATTTCAACATATGATTATGATTTATAAGTAGCAATTATTTCCATCACTAGTAAGTAGGCTACTGAAGGAGAGTCAAACTTCAACACGACTTTGAAGGCCAATTTTAGTAATAAAAGTTCGGTCTCTATTTAGGTCCGATCAACTTTCGATCCCACAACTGTCTGAAAAGGTATTTTTATAGTAAACTATTACATCCAACGTTGGCTGTAATGTGATTATATCGTATTGTAACCGAAAATTGAATCGGTAATCTGCTAGTCTTAGTAATACTTTACTATTTTACTACGAAAATACTTTTTATGACAGTTGTGAGATCGAAAACTGATCGAAACTGAATTTTGACCGAACTTTTAATACGAAAATTAGCCTTCAGAGTGATACCACGTGCGAAAAGAACAACGGTGCTAAGGAGTTCCTTCATTGCTTTTCATTGAGTGAGTGAAGCTACAATTTGATTCATCCTAGGGTTGCCTACACGAGATTGCTCTTAGCAATAAGCCCGCCCTTTGTACATTACATATCGAACAATGTTAAATACTATAATATTTTACAAAACGAAGTACAAATAAAGACTTTTCTATCTGTCTATCTACCGGATCCCAACCCATCCCGTTTCCCCAATGCCTGGAATTTGGGGGGGGGGGGGGGGGGCACTTAAAGAGTTTCAACACATTTGCGTGTTGCATGTGTCCTTGGCTGGCGCTAGTGGCTTATATTAAGTTGAGGCCTGACAGTCAATCGGAGGAGGTCTTTGCCAAAATGGGGCGAACGGACCGGGTTGTTGATGTCACCAACTCGTTCAAATCGTTAGGATAAGTTTAGTATCAATGTTACTACACAGTGTTTCAATAAAGGCTTATATTATAATTATTAGACAGTCCAACATGAAAGCAAGCAACCACACATTGTGCTAAACCCAAAAAATGAAGACCTAAGAAGAAAATGATGATAAAGCTGATGATGATTTATCTAAAATATTATGTGCAAGGCGTTTAACAGATATATACTGGAGATTAACGAAACTTTTTTCATAAGAGGTCAGTAATAACTTGTGTAAACATAAAACCTAGCATAAAAATAAAAAGGATATGTTTTGTAACATATTATAGTTCAGTCTTATATCTCACTTGCAGTTTAAATATAGGTATACACTACACACAGCTCTGCAATACCCAAAGGTTTGACTGGAAGAAAATGCTTGTGGCATTAAGTTCGCCCTATGTATGAAATATTTGCTGGAAGCTTAATAAATAAAAAAGGCTACATGAAATTAAATGTTTTGACTTTCAGCCGATCTGTTATTTCAATATGAAACATAGTCGACAAGTAAGGATTCTGGTTGTTTGGTTAAAACTCTTATATGTCTATTCTAACATTTACCACTTATGAGCATAAACTCGCAGGTTTCTCGCAATTTCTTTTAACGGGAATAATCATAATATATCACTCAGTCATTTGAATTAAACGCCACATTTGTTGATGCTAACGAAACGCGTTAATGAGACACTAACTCGTCGCGAACATGCAAGAACGATCAGTGAACTTGAAAAAAATGCTCGTATTGGAAATTGAAAGTTGGTTTTCAGTTATATACTAGAATTTTCTTGTTTAAACAAAAAAACTGGTCTCCGTGTGTTCGTAATACTGCTTCTGAACTATTTGCATATTTTCTTCTCATTTATGGGGTTACATGGTCTTTATTTATTGTTATGGTCGATGGGTGGCGCTTTGGTCAGGTTTTGTGTAGGGAAAACTTCTTTAGCCGTGTTAAGCGATTTAGTCGCGACGATTTAGCGAATAGGGCAAAAACTTACGGGCTGACTGCCTCTGTTTTTTAGGTTTTTTTACAGCACAAAGCTGTAAAACGTGTCTTTTTGCGAAATAAAGGAATAATTCCAAAAAATAAAAAAAAAGTTGAAAATTAAGATAAATTTTGGTACTTACAAATTTTCGCGAAAATCTACGTAAAATCAGAGTAGGTAAGGAAACCTCGGCACACGGCTTTTTTTAATATTTTAACTCAATCAGTTGTCCTAACAAGGTATCTTGAATAAGCTCGTCATAATAAGGCATATGTTTATTACAAAAGGTTTTACGAGTTCATTAAAGATTACATCAATGATAAATCTGCTTGGGATTAAGTTGCTCTAATCACTAGCTATAAGAACAATGGTCTCTAATCGCCGTCGTCGATGAAGGTTCCATCGACCAGACCGGGTTTTGTGGAATCTTCATTACCTATCAGTTTTTCTGCAGGAGTATTTTCAGGGTGCATAGCTTTAGTTATAAGCCCGTCTGGTGACGGTAGCCTGGTTTATTCTAGGTCTTGCAATAGGGTTATAAATGTATTTATGTGACTTTTATGGCCTCTCACAAGGTCATTTCATCTCTGCTATTCTAGCATGTCATTTTTTTATTTAATTTGGTCATCAAGTGAACTCCTGACGTAAGAAAGTGCACTACCACAAGCTCCTAAATAAAGAATATTTGAGTTTGAGTTTATCAGTCGAATCAATTGTTTAAACATAGAGACGCAGTAGGGCGATGGCTCTCCCACAATTAAATTATTCGTATTGATAGCATGTTTCGTATAGTGAGTGAATATCTATGTCGAAGAAACTCTTGCAGCTGCGGAACTATCTTTTATCATAAAAAAGCGTGAACTATAATTTATTAGTTAGTCATGCTTTTTGTCAATGTTATGTTGTGTAGTCAATGGACACAGTATTCTAAACGAAACACAGACAATATACATATCTATACTAATATTATAAAGCTGAAGAGTTTGTTTGTTTGTTTGTTTGAACGCGCTAATCTCAGGAACTACTGGTCCGATTTGAAAAATTCTTTCAGTGTTAGATAGCCCATTTATCGAGGAAGGTTATAGGCTATATATCATCACGCTAAGACCAATAGGAGCGGAGCACCAATGAAGAATGTATCAAAAATGGAGAAAATTTATTACTATTGAGAGACGCAGACGAAGTTGCGCGGGTCAGCTAGTATAAAATAAAATAACAGCAAGAACTCGAAAGAAACTTTTAAGATGTCATATGATTTTCTATTAAATTAGAACCGCCAAAATGATACCTAATTTATTATATTGTTGACCTTAAGCTGTTTACGCTATAAAATGTAAATAGACTTGAGATGGTCCTAGGAGCTACCTCGCAAACGGGAGGATACTAGCGTTTTGCGACCATTCCCTCGTACTCATAGAGATATAAGCATAGAGACAACACGGAGTACAGATGCTTGTAAGTGGAAGCTATACTGGCAACGAGAGAGACGGATTTCCTACAGTTCCCTCTGTCTCTGTTTAGCTAAACTGCGATTGGCTGTCGTGAAGCAGGCATGTTTTTGATCGTAGAACAGGCGGGAGATTAGATTTCCCCACAGTCAATAATAGAGCTCGACTAGAAAGAGATAGAGGGAACTATCTATTACCCATCTCTCTCGTTACCTTTATTACAAGATTGGGACTCTTGTTCACTCCATGTTTATATCTCGTACTACACACCAACGAATGCTATATTGAAGTATGGGTCAAATTTGACACCATTATAAAAATAACGGTGTCAGAAGTAGTTAGTGATCGATACTGCTGAGTCAGGGGTCGCCAGTTCAATTCCTACCTAGGACGGTGTGTTAAGCACAATCCATTGTTCTGAGTTTTGGTGTAATTTATCTACGAGTATAATAATATGTATTTATTTTGTAATATATAAGTGTGTTACCATAGTATCTGCATAGTTTAGATCCAGACGCCTGTGTGTCAAGTTTTTCAAGTTAATAATAACTTGACCTGGCAGTTGAAGGAATATCTACCCCCTTTCACCTGACGTAATAAACATTTTGTTCCCCTCTTATAAAATTTGTACCACATAATCCACAAATTAAATGATAACGTGTGGTGACGGATTTACTAAGGGAGCAAACTACGCAGGACAACAACACTGCAAAGAGAAGGAAAACTTGACACAAACCCTATACCAACCCGTCTGGCCAGCGTGGTAAAGTAGGCCAAAACCTCATTTCTAAGGAGAGGCCTATGTCCAGCAGTGGACTATTTAAGGCTGTTGATAATGAAATGATAAAGATACTTAAATTGAATTCATAATACGTTCAAGTTTTATTGTATTAAAAAGTTGGTTGATAACATTATTTTCTCTGCTTCAAATAGTTAAGTGTAAAGAATAACTGAACCGAACACGAACGAACACGCGAACACCCTCGTAATAGGTGGCAAAAGAACAGTGGGTGACCTGGTGAACATTGACGCCGCCTATGAACGCCTGCAACTCAGGAGTTAAAACCATTGCCGGCCTTGGAGGCGGGAGTGAGCTCTTTTCTTGAAACTTTGGAGTTCTCTCCCCGAACATACCACAACAATTTCTTCTACAGATTCGCATTCGATTTATCTTCAATCTTCGTAAGTATGACCATGTCTCTAGTTTTCGTTGCCAGCTTAGGTGGTTACCAATTCGTCAACGCAGAAAAATGCGCGCACTCACAACTTTGCATACTATCCTCAATTCCCCATCCCCTCCTACTTATTTAACTTCACAAATTCAACTATTATGCAAGAACCATAACAGAAACCTTCGTTCTTCTAACAATCTCCTTCTACTTTGTCCTTCTCACACTACCGGGTTTGTTGGTTCTTCGTTCTCTGTTTAGTCTATCCTCCTGTGAAAAGCGCTTCCTGTCGAAGTCAGGATGGTTACAAACCGTTACTCCTTCAAGATGAAGGTAAAGGAGCTGTTGCTGAGTGAGTTGGCAGAATCAACGGACTCTTAACTCATCACCCACAGTTATAATATTTTTATAATTGTATCTACATATGTGTGTATATGTGTATATGAATGTATATAGGTATATGTGTACGTATGTATATATATGTAAATGTGTTAATCCTGGTATATATACAATAAATATAATAATATATCATTGCCTGTATACATCTATTCGAAGTACAAATAGTACTGTATAAGAACTCTATCATTTATCCCCATAAATGCACCTACCTCACTCTTTCTCAGCATCGCCTAATCGGTCGACTGGCAGAGAATTCCTTAGGCATTCCGCCGATGCACACATTTGTGCATAAAGTCATAAATAAATAAATAAATAAATTACATGAGGCAAAAAGTTTATTGAAAAGATTACAGTGTTAAAGTGGCAATTATCCAAATTATGGGGATAATTGCCACTTAACTACTTTTAATTATAAACTCCAAATTAAAAGAATACTTTGAAATATATAAAAACATTAAATACCTTAAAAAGAAATTCGCCAAAGATCCAAAATTATGTAGGTTATAAAGGTTTATCGCATTCTTCGTCACGTTTTAGTCTGACTTTGCGATGTTTAAGTGCGGGTTATGGTGTATTTAACACACAGGGGGGGGTCGTCTACCCGCCGTAGATGGCCCGAGGTACGTCGGGGCACCAGGAATTTCCTTTCTAGGGTACACCTGGTTCCCCGACTACTGGTACCTGAGACGGCGTGCGGTTTTAGTCGGTTTGCCACCGGTAAGTGGTATATAAAAACATAAAAAAGATCAGTCGGTCAGCTGTTTAGTGATTCTATCTGCCGTTTCAAAGGTCGTGAGTTCAATCGCCAGCCAGGTACTGCGTGAATACGAAACGGCGACCAATAAATTGCGTGATGAGCACACACTATTTGTACTTTGCCTGGGTGTTATTTATAGATAGTAAACTTAAAACAATAAATGTTAGTTTTATTGCAGTCTGGTTATAGTTCAGACTCTGCCTAGTTTGGTATCAGACAACTATGAGTTAGATGTGGCAAATTATTATTGTTATGTCATTATTATTTCAAAGGTTTTTTATTTTTATTTTGTGTTGTTTCGAGTGGTTATTGTACTGTAGCTGTATTATATCACTATTGATGACTGACCTACATTAGACAGGAAACTTTCAGTCCCGAAGAACGATCCGATGATGGAATACTGTGTGGTTATAGTCGCCTCGAGCCCAACATACCGTTACTAGTAAACTACGCAGGACAACAGCACTGCAAAGAGAAGGAAAACTTGAAACAAACTCTATACCAACCCGTCTGGCCAGCGTGCTATAGTAGGCCGAAACCTCCTTTCTAAGGAGAGGCCTATGTCCAGCAGTGGACCATTAAAGGCGATGATACCGTTACTAGTAAGTTAACCAAACTAAACTAAGGTGGTAGACGGTATTATCAGTGCATTTCATGAATTTTCTCTCTTTTCTTTTTAAAAGACAACTCCCGCACTAAAAGTATATAATGTGTGGCACGGGACTTGACAAATATACTTGAAACGAACACAAAGAACACCCAGACTCAGAACGACAATTTGTGGATCGCGTCCTACATATGTGGGGATCGAACACACAACACTCAGCGTAGTAGGAAGCGGCGTGGCGACCGCTTAAACCACAACGCCATTCATGCAGCACTTTAAAATAATATATTAAAAGAACGGAAGTGTTTATGTTTAGTTACGATAATTAACATAATTATCCTAATTTATATATTTAATGTTTTTATTTCGGTCATGTTAATCATGTTGCAAAGTTTAACAGTCTATTATTACGTAATTGAGAACTGGCATTATTTAACTTATTATAAATTGTTGCAATTCTCGTGAGATTTAATTTTAAACTAGGTTAAATTTAATTGTTGTCTTAAAACACTTTTGACTGATGATTATAACATTATTATTGAAGAGATTTTTAAGCATATAATATGCAAGAAGTATTTAATAATTTAGTTTCGGTACTTCTGTTGTGTTTCTCTTCTGCTTGCTACTTGGAGGTCCGACTGAAGCAATTCACATCACACATCACATCATCAGCCTTTAACTTCCAGAAAGGAGGGTTTGGCCTACTATGCCACGCTGGCCAGAGGGATTGGTATAGGGTTTGTCTCAAGTTTTCCTTCTTTTTACAGTGCTGGTGTCCTGCGTTGTTTTGCGCCCTTAGTCGGCGGCGTCTTACGACACCCACGGGATGAATTGGGGTAGTGACATTCCGGACTCTTAATCCGTCACTACACCTTTACCTTCACCCTACAGAACTAGTTACCCAGAGCTACCCGCATGGAGATTCTTCTTCTTCTTTAAATGACTCTCCGACCAGCGAAGGGGGGCAGTGAGTTGTAAAGAGGTCGGCGGCACTCGCGATTCCCTCCCACAAAGCCAATAAGGCTGAAATGGACTTCTTTGATAGTCTATGTACAATTTAGAAGACTTGGAGGAACTCAGCTACCAAACTTTC